AGCAGGCAGAAGGACCGAAGTAGACTGCTGAGGGGAGCAGCGGGCGGCAGGAGAGGTCTGCGCGCCATGTGGGACCCTCCCCCAGTGGCCGGAGATCGAACTGGTACTGCAGAGGCTGCGGCAGCTTCGCAGTCCAGCGCTCAACCACTGTGCCACCAGGGGAGGCCCAAGATAAATTTTATTTTTACAAATATTCGGAGGGCAGAATGACCATTTCAACTTCAAACGTAGCTTAGGAGATAACTGAGACAAACTCAATAGTCTAAAGAATTAGAAATTGTTAGAATTGTTAATATCAGTTAAGATGCCGCTGTGAGCACTTATTAGAGGCCAGATAGTTCTCGCACTTTTCCCATTTACTCTCACGACGCGATGGCGTCTTACATCTGTTGGTCCGAGGGCAGGCGACGATGGAGGGGCTTGGGCCTGTGTCCCCTGCTGGCGGGAACAGCACTCGTGTCCCCAGTAGCGTTGCCAGAGGCGTTTCTCGAGCTGCCACCTCTGTAGGTTCTCGTGGAGCTCACGACATTAATTTTAAAAATACTTGAAAGTATTTTTTACTCTAATGCATGGCTCAGTACCATATTCAAAATTTATATTTTTCAAAAAGTCACCTATGACAGCTTCCTTGACCACAGAGCCCAGAGGCACGGGCGGGCGTGGGGGAGTTCTTGCGGGTCCGGCAGCCAGTGAGCCCTTCGTGCTCACACCCACAGGCCAGAGAGGGCCACGTGCACCCTCACAGCTCCTGAGCAGCCTCCAAGCTTCTGACTGAAATCAAGAAAACGCTGCTCCTGGCTCTCCAGGGGCGTGGGGCTGAGCTCGGCTCCAGCTTCCGCGGGGTCATGGTCATATTTGCAAGTGAGTGAAATGAAGTGTTGAGAAGGTTCTCGGCCGTTTTGCTGGACAGAAAGATAACACAACTCCATCAGCGAGATGTTGCTTGAGAGGCGGACAGAGCGGCACAAGGAGCTTCTCTCTGCCCTGAGGCGGGACCGTGCTCAGCGCCTGCTGTCCATGCCCACGCACTCCGGCTGGTCACAGGCTTGGGGCGGCCATCGCCACTGGGGTGGGGGGTGTGAGACAAAATGGGGGGTGCATCAAGTCAAGTGCACGCCGGTCCTCGGCTGAGAGTCCAGCAGCGACCGCGTGGGCTGGACCTCGAGCCTGGAGCCCAAGAAACAGGCCCAGAATCGTCACTTGAGAGCATGGGCTCCCTGCAGCCTCCTGCAGCCTCCCACGCGCTGCCAGCGTGCAGGCGTGCAACTCCAAGCTGTTTGAAAGACGTGAATAAATAAAACAATAAATTCCTTTAGATTTCGCTTCCAAGAATCAGACCTTGAGAATCTGCCCTGAGCAAAGGCCGAGAAAACAGGGGCATGGGTTCAGAGGTGAGAGCGTGCTCCCCGAGAGGCAGTGCCTGCGATGTCAGCACGAAGCCTGTAAACCCTATTTCGTGGCAGCGCAGAGACTTCTTCTGCTTCCCACCTGCCTGTGCCCTGTCCCGGGGAGCTCTGCCTGCTGCCCGCGGCGCCTGGCACTCCAGGTAACCTCGGCTGTGTCTCCCCTACCTCGCTGACCCGGGGTCTCTCAGGGTGCGCACCAGCCTCAGACCCGCCCTCAGGTCTGCTCGGCCTCTGATGCTGACCCCACCCTGATGCCCTGTGCAGCTGTGTCCTTGGGGGAAAGAACTGTCCTGAAATACCAAGTGTCTTCTCCGGGGAGAGGAAGCACAGTCCCCTGGAGCTGCCCCCCAAGGGTGCCCCTGGTCCCGAAGCTGGACCCCCAGACAGCAGCCTGGTTCTCAGCACCTGGGGCACTCCAGACACAGCCTCCCTGCAGTCACTGGCCAGCGAGGCTGCACCAGGCCTTGGGCTCCCACCTCCCATGGAGCCGTGCATGGGAGAAGGGGTTGCCCTGCCACAGGGCTGGCAAGGGGTGAGGTTGGGGTGCGCCCCGAGGAAGAAAGAGAACGGTGGAGGGGGGTGACCAGAGGGAAACTGGACGGCCACAGAGCAGGGTGGACCGGCGAGCTTTGGGGAGACATGAAGGGAACCTAACATTCCTTCAGCAGACTGCCTTTGGTTTTCACCACATCCAGATGCTTTGCTGGACTCCGGGGCTCTGTCTGCTGAAGGCAGCACAGTCTGTGCTGGGAAGGCAGCCGTCACCACCCACTCTGGCCTGTCCTTCCACAGACACCAGCACTGGTGAGCCAAGGTAGCAACGAGGAGCCCTCTTGGAAGGCCCCCAGGTGCCCCCGAAGCCTGGGAATATAACGGGAGTGATCAGCAGAAGGAGGAAGCCCACTCAGGAAGAAGGACCGCTGTCTGGCCATCCAGAGGGCTGCGGGGCGGCAGTGACCTGTCACTCACGGCCCTCACGGCAAAGACCCCACTCTGTAGATGGCACAGTGGCGCCGAGGTTCCATGGATGGAGGTGCTGTGGGCCGGCTTCCGTGGCAGCAGTGCAGAGGGCCCTGGGGAAGCTCGGCCGCCCTTAGGGTGTCCCAGCCCTGCAGCCTCAGGCCCCAGCCCAGTGCCTCCTTCCTCTGGGAAGTGTGTTTAGATTTTATAGATTTTTGATAGATTTTTGTTATGTCAGCTTTCTGTACTCGGAGGTCTTAATTAAAGATTTTTAAATGTTAAGTAGAATGTTCACCAGTCCAGCTTGTAATATATATACAACAGACCTGTCACATCGTTTATTTTCTTTAAAAACAAGCTTCTTGCACAAGTTCCCCGTGGAACTCGGATCTGGAGTTTAAGGGCATTTGGAGCTTAGTGTCGTGTAAACAAAGTTCTCCCAGATGCCAGAGTCCTTTTTGGGGTGTTGCACTCCTGGATCCCCACCAAGCTGGGCTTTCTCAGCTTTTGGAAAAACAAATCCTTCTTGGGCTGGAGGCTCACAGCCCGCTGGTGCTCACCGCTGAGTCATAAATTCCTAAACGCCTGTAAAGCAGACACCCTTACACCGACACGCTGCTCAGAGTGGAGTCTCGAACATTCTGTCTGGTCAAGACGGCACAAGGGCCGGCCTGTGGGCCTGCGTCCACAGAGGAAGGCCGTGGCGTCAGCCCTGGGCACCTGGGGACCCGGGTCTGGAGGGGCGTCCAGGCGTCACGGGGGCAGGGGCTGCGCGGGAGCGGAGGTGGGGCGAGCCCGCAACCACAACCCGGGATTCGGAGCATGGACTTGCTTTTTGGAGCTTAAAGTTTCTTGTCATTAAAATAGCAGCGCCTGCCCCTGGGCTGCAGGGCTGTGGGGCCTGGGGAAGCGGGGCCGGCGTCCGCCCGGAGAGGAGTGCGGAGCACCAAGGTGCAGCGAGAGGTGCGGCGGCAGGTGCGGGGTAGGAGCACGGCAGGGGTGGGCGGGCGAGCCAGGCCAGGAGGCTGCTCGGGCGGCAGAGGACAGGGAGCGAAGGCGAGGAGCGGGCCGGGGAGCCCCGTCTTTGCTCTTTCTCCTCATCCTCTGCCTCCTGCCCCTCAGCCCCCTCTCCCACCTCGCTTTCTCCTCTCCGGCCTTTCCTCAAGGCCTCCCTCAAGGATCCCAGAGCCCCTCAGACTCGCAGCGCGAGCAGGCTGAGCCCCGGCCCAGCTGGCACAGACAACAGCCTGCCTGGCCGCGGCCTCAGAGCCACCCCGGCCTCGGCCTATCCTGGAGACGTGAGCCCAACGTGGCACAGGCGCCCCCACCTGCGGCTGGTGGGAGCGGGCACCGGGCTGCTGGGCTCAAGCCTCCCGGCCTGCAGCTGGCCCTTCCCTGGCCCTCCCTGGAAAGAGGGGGTGGGGGTGCGGCCACCATTCAAAGCCACGACCAGACACCCCCTCAGCCAGCAGGAGACCGTCACAAGCCGAGGAACGTGGAGTCCACGCACCCTGGGGGATCCGGCAGCCATGCGGGCAATGGTGCAATCGTGGAAACCAGGACCACGGAGCCTGGAGTGGCATGTGTACGGAGGACACAGCTGGCAAGTCTGCAGTCACCTTCATTTATCACAGCAAGAGCCATAGAGAAAGACGGGGACACAGCCCATGTCCACCGCCATCTGCGGCCGGTGGGTGACCCTCGGGGGCCTGACCTGTCATGCCGTCCATGCCGTCCTTGTCACCTGCCAGTCTCCTGCGGTGCCTGACCCACCAGCCCCTCGCTGCCCAGGGTGTGTGCAGGAGACCAAGTGTCCGGGGTTGGCACCGCCTGCCTCAGGCTCCACGGGGTAGGGCATGTCTCCAGCAAATGCTCAGCAGACACCGCCAGGCCCTTCTGAGCCTGTCACCCAGTAGGGGCCTGGAGGGGGTCACACAGAGAAGCTGCGCTCACGGGCGTCTGTGGGGGTCCTGTCTGCCAAGCAGACGGCAGTGGCCATGGGCCTGGGGCTGAGATGGGCTGATGTTTAAGGCATGAGCCTCGAGGTGAAGTCCCAGGGCCCCACCCAGTGACCTGAACTCCTGACAGATGGGCGCCCAGTGCTGGCATGTTGACTAGTCCTGCAGGCCTGCTCCCCCAGCTGAGACCACGCTCTGCAGACAAGCAGGAGCAAGGCGGAGGGTACCCAGGTCTCTGAGCAGCCTGCACCCCAGCCGCCCGCACCGGGCATTTCAGCCTCCCTGCCGGAGGACCGCCTGCTGTGGTGGCCGGGCAAGGCAGGCCCAGGGGGACGTGGGCTGGAGAGAAGCGGAGTGTCCTGACAAAGGAGAAATGAAGGAACCTGCACGTTTCTCTCGGTGAGCGCGCTCAGGGGAGAAGGGAGGGCAGGAGGGGCCAGTTAGGGGCTCAAGGGTGCCCCGTCATCCTGCCTGACCTGTGAGGGAGCTGGGGCCAGTCAATCACAGCTGGGTCACCTGTGCTCGGTGGGGTGGAGCCTGAGCCGTGAGTTCAGGCATCCATGCCAGCCCCGAGGCCACGGCGGGGAGGCGGGCGGACCATAAAACACCTGGCGGGAAAGCACGGCCCGTAGGCTCTGTGCCTGGAAACCTGCCACAAAGGCCACATGCCCCTCACCTGGTCGCCTGCAGCTCCATGATCTGTGATGGCACCACCAGGCCCATCTTCCCCGCAGCCAGGACGTCCCCACAACACCCAGGCCTGAGGCACCAGGTCTGCAGGCCAAGGCCCCGCACCACACACCTGTGAAGCTGTGGGCTGACTACAAAGCTTCCAGAAGCCCCTGGAGGTCTCCTGGTTCCTCCAAAGCAGCTGTCGATAGGGCATGGAGACGAGGACCTGCTTCTTGGGGCTGCAAGCCTCCAGGAGCCCCTTTAGCCAACCTCTGACTGCTTACATTTTCTAACTTGGGGAGGCAAAAAAAAGGAATTTTAGGAATTTTCTCCCCAACCTGTGTTTATCGGGTGATGCTGGTTCACGCAGGTGTCTCTGAGTTAGGGGTTCTTGGCTCTGGGTGTGCATCCCCAGCATCTCTGCTTCTGCTGCTGGCCCCGGCGGTCAGGTGGCCACCGGGATGTGCTGGCCTTGCTGCCGGGCAGGGCCTGCCACCTCCCCAGAGGGCCAGGAGGCCCAGCTAGTCTGGCAAAGATAAGTGAGAGCAAAGCCAGACAGACCAATGTCCCATTACATAGTTTCACTCTTTGGAAAAAATTAATTTGTACTTGAGTTCTTTTTTAGCCATTATTATTTAAACAAACGTCTTTGTTTCTCTTGGATCACGGCACGTAGCTGTATGAATTCAGAAGCGTGGGAGCCTTTAGGCAAACAGTGCGGGGCCACCCTGCCAAGGCGGCGGGTTCCGTGTGGGAAAGCAATGCGGCGACATTGGAATAATGCCCAGGGGGCAAGACCCTCCTCGTGATGGGAGCCTACTGGAGAGCCCCTGCCAGGTGCTTTGAATGCTGTTCCTCCACATCTTACCTGAACATCGCGCCAAACGTGGCGGCAGTGCTGCGGGCTGGGGTGCACCACTGCAGTGCTGCTTTTCTCTTTGTAATCAAGAAGCATCTTGGGCAGACATTTTGAGGCACAATGTGCCCCCAACCCCTGACTGCGTCCATTGTGGCTCTGGCCCGCACGATGGTCACCGTGGCACTCTGACGGAGAGCTGATGTCTCCTGGTTCTTTTCTATTTTCAGCTGGAATTCTGCTGTAAGCAAGAGCTGCTCCTCCCCAGCATTCATCTGTTTTCTGATCATTCACATCAATATGAGCTCACGGGTGTTTATTTTGTGGTTATAACGATATTTTTGTTACTCATCATCAGTGCTCAGGCTATTCCAGGTGCGGCCCCTCGGGCCTGTCAGGAGGACGCCACCGCCCGGCATCCCATGTCCTCTCTGAGCAGCTTTTGGTTTCTGCACCACACACTCTCCAGGCTCGCCTGCACCTCCCCGCCCGTCCTGGGACCACTCTGTTCTCAAGAGCCCTGGCTCCTCCTCCTGGCACCAGGCTGGCGTGGCCCTTGAGGTACTCACAGGCCAGGCTCTGTGGGCAAGATAAGCCGCGACAGCTCAGGGTCGTCCCTTCCAGCACTCTCGGTGGACAGAACCAGGACACGCGTGTGTGCACACCTGCCCACACCTGCACGTGCCCACATATCCCTGCATGCACCTTCATATACCTGGGCTGCCTCTCTGTGCCGCCTGTGCCTGCACACATTTGTGCACACATTGGAAAAGCATGAGTTCATAGTGATGCTCGGAGTCAGACGCCATCCAGACTCATTCTCGTCTGACCCTGCGTTGCTGAGTTTTCTGAGCACGTGGAGCCTGGCTCTGCACCTGGATTGTTCTTCTGGTTGTTCAACACTAGTCCACGCCAGTGACCAGCTGGCCAGCAATGGTGCCTGTTTTCCAAGCCTGGACTGTGCTTATTCCCCATTCTCCTGCATCCCACGCCGCTGGCTGCACCCGGTTTGCTCTCCTGCAAGTCACCGCAGTGTCTCTGGGCTGTCTGGGGGGGCTTGCCAGTGAAGGCAGAGCCTGCACCTTGGCTGTGTGTTTGGGCTCAGGTGTGACAGACATTTTTCTAGAACTACTGTGTCACCAAGATTGGCATCAGGAGCGGGGAAACCCCACTGCAGACTCCACCCCTGGGCACAGCCTGGCCTCGGTTCTGTGGTCCTGGCTCCTGGAAGGGTGAGCAACATTCACAACCTCAGGCATTCTGTGGGTGCGAGCACCCTGTGCTGGCTACCGCGTGGCACACGGCAACATGCCTGGGGCAATGCGTGGCCGGCAGCGGTGGGGGAAACTCAGAGACCCCCTCTGCCATGTGCTGCAATCCGGTGGCTGTCTTTGAGCAAAAGCTTGTCTGGGCCTCTGCTCAGCCTTGGGGTCTGGAATTGTTATTTCTGCCAATTTACTAAAGCTTTTTCGTTACTTTTTGCAGAGAAAATCTGCTGAACTTCTTACTCTGCCATTTTACTAACCTACCCGTCGCAAGATTTTTTTCTTCCCTTGGCCTGAGATGAAGTTTCACTGAAGATTGACAGTGAGTTAATAGCAGGGAAATTCTCAAGTCACATATCTGCCCTGTTAAACTCTTCCTCTGCCACTGGCATTTACTCGGTTTGCAGAATGGCCTGTGGGGACGGCGAGAAATGCTGACTCGTCGTGGAGGATCTAGGGAGAGTTGAATTTGGCCTTTTGTTCTAGTATTTTGTAAAGACGTTCGATGCTGAGCTGTCATTTTCCATATTTGTTATCCTGCCAAACTGGCTTAATCTGAAATACGATAATCACGACCTTTGTTCTGAAGCCAACTTGCTAACCAGAGACGGAGGGGCAGGCTGGTGAGGGTGGCTGTCACGCCCCTTCGCCACACTAGACTCAGTCTGGGGGCCCATTTCTCGCCATATTTACTTTACGCCTTACCCACTTCCTTAAATTAAAATTAATTAACAACAGATTTTATCGCTTGTGCAAATGTGGCTTGTTCGTGGCTCAGAGACAAACACGGGCGCCCGGGACGCTCAACAAACCTGCCCCATGTCAGGGCCCTTCTGTTCCTTTCCCTTTTATAGTAAACTGCCCCGCCGAGAACATTAAAACAACCCAAAGTGCCGACCTCCGGTGCCCCTGGCTGGCCTCTGAGCCTCCCCGGGTGCCCCTCGGGGTCCTGGTGCCCGCTGGGGACGGTGTGACCCACCCTGTCGGGTTTCCTTCACAGCAGGTGCCTACATCTGCAAGAGCACATTTCTCAGCCATCTAGAGTTCATGTACAATTCCACTTTTTTAACCAGGATAGAGAACTATTTTACCTGTTACTTGACACTTTTCAAAAGGAAATTTGTACAAGTATCGTAAATGGAAAAATAGTATCATTTGATACAAATAAAAAATAGCAACTAGGGCCTCCCTGGTGTTGCAAGGGGTTAGGTCTCAGCACTATGAAGCTGTCCGCAGCCTCTACAGCACGAGTTCCATCCCCGGCCAGGGAGCTACCCACAGGGCGCAGCAGTGACCCCTCCTGTCTCCTCGCTGCTCCCCTCAGCAGTGGATTTCAGTGGATCCGCCTGCTCTGCTCCCCACCCTGTCTCTGCTGAATCCTCTCCCCCGCCCCGGCCCCGGCACCTCTGGCCTGTACCCCAGCTCTTGTATGCACAAATAAATAAACCTTTAAAAAAAAAAAGCAACTATTTACATTAAACCTAAGCACAAAATTATTACTTTTTAAGATAAATAGATAATTAAACACATCTTAATATCTGTCAATTAGATTTTACAAAAAGAAAACTTACAGGTATTTCCAAAATGAGAAAAAATGGCAGTTGCTGAGAGTTAGCAGTAAACATTCTGGGCAGACACCATTCGCTCTAGGGTAGCAATTACTTGTTTCTACTTCGGAAGATAATTAAATTTTCTGTTCTGATGTATCAGTCTCCAAATGCCAGTTCATAGGCTTCCAAATTCACACTTCTTTTACCACTTATTAATTTCTCATTAATTTATGACTAAGATTAAGAAAATAACTAATTTTGAAGGTACTCGCCTCCAGAGCCCGGGCTGGCCTCCGTGGAGCTGGACACTTTGTGGTTGTCTGTGAAGGCGGAAAGGGACAATCGCCGCGGCGGTGTGGAATCGCTGTTCCTTCCAGGGGCGAGGCTTCCTCTGTATCTGGGGAGTAGATTTTTATTATGTGGAACAAATTCTCACAGCCAACGGCACAGGGGAGCTGCAGGCTGGGTCTGTGCATGGAAACGAAGCTAGAAACACACTTTTGTTGTGTTTTCTTTGTACTACCCAAAACTCGGAACAGCAGGAGGTTTATTTACTGAAAATTTAAGACAGTTTTCTGGTTTCTTGAGTGCATAACCCTGCAGCTCACATGCCCCGCGTAACACAGATTTGTAAGACTCCCTTTCACCTTGTTCTAACTGACCCATCAGAGGGTGATTTTGATGTGCTGCTGATCTGTCTTCTGACTGGAATGACAATGCTGGCCTGTGTAGTTCTGGGCACCTCAATCCACGCCCCAGTCCGAGCCTCTCGCTGGGACCGGGCCCCGCCCCTCCTGGAGGTCACAGAGAAGCCGCTATCAGTCAGCCGGGGGTGTGAGCTGCAGGCTCTGCTCTCAGCAGCTCAGAGCTGCGAGGCCTGACACGGTGTGGGGCGGTCACGGGAGGGGACAGCAGCAGGTGTGAGGGTCCCCAGGTGTCCCTCCCTGGCGGTGGGGGCCACGGCCGAGGATGCCCAGCAGGCCAGAGGGGTCCTTGCACCAGCTCACTCCTGCACGGCAGAGGAGACAAGTGTCTGTGCAGGAGTCTTTGGTTGTAAAAACACAGAAGGAGCTCTCGGCTTTCCCCGACCACACAGGAAACCTGCAAAGAGTGGCCTGAGAAACCGCAGACTTACTCAGTGGCTAGGAATGTGGAAGGAAAGAGAAAATCATAATAAAGACAGAAGCGGAAGGCAGGGAGGAGGAGGGCGCGCGACTGGTGGGCTCAGTAATGTCCAACGTCGTTTGCACCGATTTTCCCGAACAGACTCTACAGAGCAGTTGCTGCTGAAAAGAAGGTCGCGAGCAGAAGTGCAAAGCTGGGTGGGGAGAGGACGCGCAGGAAGGGGCGGTGGGGTGGAGACAGGGATGTGCATCTCCGGATGTTAACAAGCAGGAGCAGCTCAGGCCGGGGGAAGCGGGAAACACACAGGAAAACAGGAATTTGAATGCGAGCAGCACAGAGTGAAAGTGGGGAGAGGGCGAGGAAGGGCCCCCGCAGGCTCGCCTCACGCTCAGCGATGCAGCCAGAGCGCGGCGGGCGCAGGGGCGGGCACGGCAGGCACCTGAGGTGGCCGGGCCCAGACTGGCTTCCAGGCTGAGGCTAAACGGACTGAAGATGCAGGAGAAAAAGCAGGGCCAGGCCTGGGTAGGAAGAGGAACGCGGACCATGAAACAACGCCAGAGCCCAGGAGTCCTGTGCTCGGCGAAGAATGAGCAGCAAGTCCCCTCGCAGGAGCTGAGGAAAGACTTCAGGGCAGTTCCCGTCTCAGGCCGACTCAGCACCGCAACTCCAGAGAGCTGCACCTTCCAGCCAAGGCAGGCAGTTTCCAGGAAACCGATCCATGCTCCTGGACAGCACACGTGGGGATCCCAGCCCCAAGCACACGGGAAGCCCCGGCCAGGGGGAGACGGTCAGTGCGCCCGAGCTGTGTGGTGGCGAGAGGAGCCACCCGCGTGGGGCCAGACAGAGACCTGAGATTGTGGGCGGGCGGGGGGCGCGGGGGCTGGGGCGCTGCCCGGAGGGCAGGAATCCTAGTCACAAGGAATACGTTCTGGCCTCCAGCGCCGGATCGCGAGTGTGGTTACTGTATAACCTGCTGGAGCTGACCAAGAGACTAGAATTTTACTTTCCTCGTCAAAAGAAAAAGGACAAAAGACCAGCGTGAGGGGACAGATGTGCTCCTTAACTCAGAGGCTCTTCCCGGCGCGGCCGCATGTTCACAGTGTTGTCGACCAGACGTTGACAAAGCTGAAACAAGAGGAGCTCGGCAGCCCAAGAAGGAGCTGAGTTTCACTTGAAGACCAGCCCCAGGCTCCTCGCCCTCTTTACACAGCAAATAAGAAAACAAAATGAAGACATTCGCTTTCGCATTTTAAAAGCATTTATTTAGGGGCAGCTCAGCCGACTCTACTTAAGTTCTTAGAAATAAGCCAAAATAACATCATAAGGAGCAAATGGTAACAGACATTTTTAAAGCACAGTGAACTGTGTAACGGTGTGTTTGTTATAAACACGACATACAACTGCGAAGGCAGAGATGGCTTGGATGGATTCCTATTTTAGTGAACAACCACAACCCCAGGTATCATTTCACCTCCCATTTCAGCTGAGAGCTCATCGAGTCACTCTGCAGACAGAACTACGTGAACTGGATGCAAACCCACCCTCACGTCCCCCCCCGAAAAGTCACGTGGACATCGTGAAAGCAAATGCTCAGTGTCACGTGACCATGGGCACCACTGACCCGCCCGCGGCCGTGGAGGAAGCCACCGCTGCCGGCTCTGGGGTGAGCCCAGAGGCCTCTGGATGTGCATCACAGCCGCATGGCCTCCACACACTGGGCTGAGCATTTATGGAAAACAGAAGCATTTCTATGGTCATATTGACGTAACTGGACAGTAACTCCTGCAGGCACAGAAATAATGTTTTTGTAGTTCTCGGGGAAGAAAAGAACATAAACTTTAATTCATGGTAACGTAGTTGGCTGGAAAAATGCCAGTCTGACCTCGAAGTGTTCCTTCCCACCAATCAAAATGTGAATCTGTTTTTGATAGAACAGTGATTCTGTCTCCAGCCTGGAAAGTCAGGTCCCCTGGCTGTTGTCCCTCAAAAGAGTACAGCGCCGTCACCTCCCTGGGCGGGCTTGAACCGCCTGAAACAAGAAAAACATGTTTAAGCTTTCAAGGGTTTTAAGGGGAAACAGCGTCTGCGTAGGTGGGAGAGAGAGCAACAGCTTGGGGCTGATTCCTGGGACCTGGCCGTGGGGCCCAGGCTCTGTGCGGTGACTGCCTTGCTGCCATTAAACTCACATTATTCTTCTTTGAAAAGAGTGCATACTCAGCTACACCATTTCCTAGCTCCACAGGAGTCAGGCTGCAGATTATTTTATACTTAAGTACATTTTCAGCCGATGTTTGTGGTTGTGAATGCCTGGATTTGAATACTCTCTAAGATGTTGTGTACATTTCCACCTGAGAGACAGTCCGAGAGGTGTGTGTCAGCTGTGCTGCCAGGCACTGCCGGGCACTGAGGGGCACTGAGGGCTTCCGGCCCAGCCGGGCGGTGCCTGCTCCAGGCCCAGGCGCTCACCTCTGCTCACTCGGCCCTTTCTCTCAAAAAACAGAGATAAAGCTCAAATGAAGACATCAAGAAGCTTGTCTGCACACGTTTAACAAGACACTCAAGCCAATGTGTAGAATTTACTATATTAGGAAGAAGAACTTTGAGACGGAGCAGTTAACACAAGTAAAAGACAGTGAAATTCATGTTCTGTGCAGCCTCACAGGAATATGAAGACACATACTTCTGTATATTCAGCCACATGGGATTTAATATTTCTGTTTCATATAACTGCGCATAAACTGAGCAATCAGATAATTGTGAAGTATATCTAAGTTCAGATATAAACATACTGAAATTAAAAATAACTAAATTCTAAAACCAGTTACTTATTTAAACTCCTACTGTTACAAGAATAATAAATAAACTGAACTTAGCCTGTTAGTGACCAGCCAGCACTGAAGCGCTGCCCCAGCGTCACACAAGGTGGCACTGCAGCCCCTTCTCTCAGGAGGCACCATGGCCTGGAGAAGCAGCATCCTAGTCCTGCCCAGGAGGATACCCGCCACCACTGCAGCTGCTGGAGCCGGGCGCTGGCCTCATGGTCCTCCCGGCAACATGGTAGGGAGCTGCGCACTTTGGACTTTGTGCTACATTTACTACTAGTGCATCAATTTAAGGAATAAGGGTTAAAAGAATGTTGCAAAAAGAACAGAATTTTGATGTAGCCTGGATAGAATCACAATCAGGTAAATGAGCAAACACAGAGGAGCAGTGACGATAGCCAGAGCAGCCCAGCACCCAGTACCCAGGCGGCCCAGCACCCAGCACAGCACCCAGCACCCTGGGCCCCAGCTGGAGGGCACAGGAGGGCAGCATCACTTCACGAGGACTCAGTTCTTGGTGGTGCAGCTTCCAAAGGTGCAAATAAAGGCCCACGTGGCCCAGCCGGCCCTCTTCATGCCCACAGCCTGTGGGGCTGCGGCCGCTCTGTGGGTGTGGGGCTGGCTGGGGCCCCTGGTCTGGGGGCAGGTTTGGGGGGCAGGTGTGGCTGCCTTAACTGGTTTCAGCAGGCAAAGGTCATGGGTGCTGACCTTGCTGCAAGGCTGTGGCCAAGTAAGTTTCATTTTGAATATAGCTTTTAAATCTTTCATATGTTTTTCTGTAAAATTCCTTGTATTTGGAGACAGGGCTAAAATTAATTAATATCAACTAGCACCTCCTCTTCCTGTGACCCTCATCCTAGCTTTCAGTGAGAAACCCAAGCCCAGCCGGCACATTTCCTGGGCTTCGCCCCCCCCCCATTAGTTTGTGATTATAACACGGTTGAATCATATGTAACAAGTGGGTATTTTCATTTACCTGCTCTCTCAGGGCAGCCAGGGAGCTCCGGGTAGAGCTTGTTACCTTTGCCTCTGTGACCTGCGAAGAGAGAAGCGGGGGTTGGGGATGGCACCAGGAGAATGCGAGGCGACACCCCAATCCAGGAACCCCGCTGCCAGGAACCCCGTCCTTCTTGGAGTGGGCAGGAGTGTCCAGTGAGTGGCCCCCATGCAGGGTCTCGGGGCACCTGCCCCGCCACCGCAGACCCGTCCCTCCAGGACCAAGGACTGAGCACATCCTCCTGTCCTTGACTCTCAAGTCCTTTGTCAACAGAGTTCTCCATCGTCTTTCTTACGGACTTCTAAACATTGTAAAAGGCGTACTTTTTCGCATAATTCAATATAAATGATCAAGATGAAATCATCACAAGGCTCCGCCCTTGGAAGACAGGGCCTCCAGGCCTGGTCTCACATTGATCTGAAACCCATCCCCGCGACAGGAAATCAACAAGCTGGTTTTTTAAAGGAAATTCCGTAACGTTCCTCTTTCAGCTTTGGGTCTATTTCCAACCTTTTTGTCCCAAAGATTATTTTAGTAAAAGCTCCCATGACAAAAATTTATACATAAATTTATGGATGGACACATTCAATGACAGATCCATATCAGCACTCTTTTTAAATATACAGATGTTAAGAAAGCTGATTCTTATAAAAACAAGACAGGTATTTTACAGTAACACAGCTGAATTTTTTTATATTCCTTCTGAGATACAGGCAACAAAATTTGTTATCTAGCATCAAAACAACAAAAATAAAATATTACTTATGAAATAATAAATATTACTATTACAACTTCTTATTTTAGTGAGATAGCTATGTGATTATTAAATAATAATTAATAATATTAATCACTATCCTTATTATAAATTCATATGGCAATTCCATTAGGTCCTTGGGTTTTGACTGAAAGTGAAGACCCGTGAAGACCCAGAAAGCCTCGGCCACCAGGCTGCTGCTTACAGAACACTCTGCTGACCAAGTCAACATCCACGTCCACGCTTAGACTGGGCAGAGAGCTCCTATGTCTGGGGACCACGTGACCTGGCATGATTCAGACACTCTGGAGGCTTGGGTTTTTACTCAAGGCCGCTGTTCTCATGGCCCTGCTGTGAGCAGGAGAGCACCTCGTCTGGGGCTTGGACACCCGGCTCTGTGTCCAGTTGTCTGTGCTCATGTCCCCGGTCTCTGTACCCCCTAAGGGACGCGTTGTCACAGTGTCATGGTGTGAAGGCGTCTGCTCTAAGAACTCGATGAACATGAGAATACAGAAATAAACATTGGTAGGTTGGGAAAGAGGAACAAATATCCCAAGTGAACCTATTTTTGAAGACTGACTATGGGACCTCCCTGGGGGCCTAGGGGTTGGTCTCAGCACTACCACTGCAGCACGAGTTCAATCCCCAGCCAGGGAGGTGACCTGCAGGGTGCAGCAGACCCACCCTGTCTCCCCGCTGGTTCCCCTCAGCAGTGGATTTCAGTAGATCCGCCTATTCTGCTCCCCACTCTGTCTCCGGTGAATTTTCTCTCACACACACACACCCCCAGGCCTGCACCCCAGTTCTTCTACACAAAAATAAATAAAATAAAAATCTTCCAATAAAGGAATAATTCTTAAAAGACTATGAATAAGAGATTTGGGTAGGTGACCAGACATAAGAAAATATATGTAATTAAGACTTTCTCAACTATAACAACAGCACTTGGAAATAAAAATGGGAACGTACACCCCATTCACCATGGCAAACCAAAATTGCAGAGTACTTAGAAATACATTTAACAAGAAGGTGTAGAAACTATGAAATCCTCTAAAGACATAAAATTTCTCAAATGGAAAAATAAAATGGGATATCATCCTAGAAATGCCAAATTAATGTATGTGTATGTTATTAAAAATAAATAAGGGACCAGGAAAATGAATATAAGAAAGTGAAAATCAAAATCAACAAAAAACTATGAACCAGAGACACTTTTTGGGGGGTGGGGGGCGGGAGGGGAAGGAATAGAAAAAAAAAAAATAAAATTAATATTCAAAAGTTGTAGAATTAACATAAGTACATATTATTTTGACTAGAATGATATACTGGAAGAGGAAAGATTAGTAAAATGGCCTTAAGTTTATGAAGAGTGAAGAGTGTCTAGTAATTACAAAAAATAGAAACACTGCAAGAAAATCTAGAGAGCATGAATATAAACTTGTGTCAGAGGTGGGAAGGCCATAATGATGATCAAAAAATATAAAAGCTATAAAAATAGGTGATACATTTTATATAACTGTTAAAACTTTATATAGTAAAATACATGAAAATCAAGCTCAACAGTGATAAGTAATCAAGTTCGGTTACTGGCCCGCCCTTGCTGGGCAGACACTCTCCAGACTGAAAGGCACAAATATTCCAACAGGAACGACATGACCAATGAAATAAAGAGGCTTTTCAGAAAAGAGTAAATCTAAAATAGCAGCAATTATATGAAAAACATTTAAAGCACTTATGGGGCAAACATAATCCCATTAACAAGGAGCTACAAGGAGCCCCCAGACTCACACTTCAGGACACCCCAACCCTAACAGTGGTGGGAGGCCGGGGGGCTCATCCCGTGGGGCACCGCTCTCTGGGGCAATGCCTGGGCGGGTCTCATGTGTTCACCCAGATTTGGGGTGCACACAGCCCGCCAGGTCCGGCAAGTCAGGGTCCTCGTACAGCGGGAACAGACGCCCCTCTCAGGGAGGCCATGGCCTGAGGCGTGCAGGGGCAGCCCAGGGCCCCACCCAGAGCTGGGCAGGGGATGCAGGGGGAGGATCCAGGGGAGGAGGCCCGGTGCGGGGGGCCTGGGGACGGTCCTGCCCCTGCCTAGGCGCTCCTTCCCGGAACGCGATCACCCTCCACGTGTCCCTCCCCTCCTGGATGGTGAGTTCTTTAAAGGCAGGACCTAAATTATATCCATTTTCTGTTTCCAGCCAAAAGGGGTGTCACGGGGCACACCCCGAGAAACAGGCCAGCTGGCAGGTGGTCTCCGCGTGGGATGGGCACGGGGTGGCCTGGAAGCCAGTGGGGAGAGGAGACCAGGGGTCCAGACCTGGCACTTTATACATTTAGCCTGCAGCACATGGTGAAATTAGCATCCAGAAACACAAATGGAGGAGTTCTGCCCCAGGCAGGGTCGCTCTGTTCCCATTCCAAATCAGCAGAATAACAGCAGAAAAAGGATTTTTAAAAAATTAAGCAAGACCTTTAAAGATAAATCTCTTTGTAAGTAGGAGAAATCACCCTTTAAATGAGGACACAAATTTTCACAAGGCATAGCAATGAGAATTTTTCTTACATACTTAGAAGCTGCCAAAAATTTCATTTTCCCTCTCAAATATGTGTTCATTCTTCTGTTTGACTCTAAAGTATAACAATGTAGCTCGATTCTTAACAACATTTAAAAATTACTTAATTATAGCTGTATTTAAATTGCAACAAAAATATTTACTTTGAGAGCCAGGGTTCAGCTGGGCTTTCTGGGATGGCTGTGGTCTGGAAGACGGCTTCGGGGGTGATTCTTTAGCCTGGAGGAACAAAAACACGCACGTGATTTTAAAGCCCTGTTGGTGCTGAGGCACAGAAGGCCTTTTCTTCTAATGGGTGCACGCAGCAAATCTCTCGTCTGCACTGATCATGAAGCCGCTTAGCACTCAGGGGCCTGTGGGTCACCCTGGGCTGGCCTGTAGGTGGAGGGGGTGCTTCTGGCTGGTCCCTTCCCTCACCAGGGCCTCTGAACCCGAGGGGCAGGCGGCACAGTTGCCTGCTCTGAAGGGGGGGTTGCTGGTGAGGAGCCACAGCCCCTGGCCCTGCTGGGCCTCCACACGAGGGCTGACTAGGGCTGTGAACTGTCCTTGGAGAAATGCAATCTTGGAAAACAAAACTGCTTCTCCTTGAAACTTGTATAAATGAAATGTCAAGGTTGCACAATGTTGTCACATGAACTTTTTGCAAATTAAACTGCAGGGAAGGGGAGTTGGCGCTCACGGCTGAGGGACCAGAGCGGGCTTACTGCAGCTCTCCTCTGCTCCCTCGCTGCTCTCCTGATGTTGAGCCTCTGGCCTTCATTCTCATACTTTTCAGTGAAGGAATCGAGGATCTCATACAGGTCTTCTGCTTGGGCAGGCCGTGGCGTGCCTCCAAATAAGATGTCATAAGCGCGAATATCTTGGCAATAAAATCTAATAGGAAACATCGATCGAGAACATTTCTTTACAGACGTGGGTCTTTTCCAGAGCCACATGTGGGACACCCCTGTGTGTGTCTTGTCTCACACATGCGCCTCCACAAGTCCCTACCCCGCCAAACCCTGCCCGCCCCTACCTCACCTCTAGAGGGGACCCCCAGAAACAGCCAGCTGTGCACCCTCCTCCAGCAGCTGGGGGCACACGCATGCTCACACAGACAGGTGTGCTCACACACACGGGTGAACACGCACACTGCACACACATTCACGTAGACACTCAAACACGCGTACACATATAAACACACATATGCACACTTACATGTGTGTATAGCAAGGCTGACGCACGAACGCTTTATAGGTTTTCACTTTTAAGTCTATTATAAAGGTGGTGCCAAGATGTGGTTTTGTAATTTCTTTCACTGTTTAGTTGTATCAAAATTAGTAGCAGCCCCACTACTGATTCAGAGACCAAGAAAGCAAAATGCGACCAGTGTCGGATGCTCTGTTTTCATTTCATTATTTTGTTGTTTTCCATATTTTCCATAAACACATACTTCTACATTGAATATTTCAATAAAAATATATACTTGGAGGCAGATGGTTGTATCAAAAAACAATACACGAAAGTATTCTGTAAACGCTCAGGGATTACATGAATCTATGATTCTTATCATCACCCTTTCTTCAAACCAAGTGAAGCACTTACTTTCGGTTGGTTTCTTTCCTCTCAATCAAGCAGCTGCCCTCCAGCGAGATGCCGGCGAAGAGCCCCCGGGACTTGCAGTAGGTGAAGACGGCTGCGGAGCTCCTGAGGGCCACGTCTCCCTCCAGGTTCCTGCCAGTCGCCATCAGAGGCTTGGGTCAGAGGCCGCGGGAGCCCAGCCAGGGAGGGGACAGGGTCCTCCCGGGCCCCAGACACCCACAGCCTGCGTTGGGGTGAACCCCCCCAGGCCCTACCTCCAGCACGGGGAGCACCCGGGGGGCTTTTTACCCTGAGTATCTTCACAGAACTCAGAAGACACTTTAGATGATTCACTGTGTAACTTCTGTAAACAGTTGGCTGAACAACATTCCTGAAATGCTCAGTCAGCTCAGTCAGCGGGGAGCCTCGCCGGCCCAGGAGAGCAGGGCAGAGGCGTCTCCCCGTAAGAGCCGCCACTTCACATTTCCACAATTCAGTTAAAAAAGCCCCCTCTCCCCTGCCGATGCTGCCCTTCACCCGCTCACAGAGGGTGACCGCCTCGGCTCCTTCGAAACGTAGAGGTAAATTTCATTTCTGAGGGTCTGTGTTTGAAATATTTAGTTCTTTTCCCACAAGGCAGCTTCACCTTTTCTCACTTTATCGGCTGGCTGTGGCCTGTGAATTTCTTATTTGTAAGCAAGCTCAAACCAGAATTGCTGGATTTTAATTCGTTAGCCCCTAGTGCACCACGGCCCAGCTTTCAGCCGCTGTCCAGGGCCCCAGCTCACCTGCCCACCGGCCCCACGGCCACGGTGAAGTTGCCCCCAAGGGTCAGGTTCCCGCCTCGCGCAAAAGCCTCCACAGCTCTGTCGTAATTCAGAATCACCACCAGATCCGACACCTGCAATTGGGAGGCCGCTTATTTAAAAAGAATTATGTCTCGATATCATTTAAAATTAGCTGATATAAAGTCAAATCTATATATAAAATGTAGCAAGGATTTCAATTCACCGGACAGATACGAAGGAGATGTTTTTGCTTGAAGCTGAGCAGAAAAGCAGCTCATGTCCCTGCAGAAGGCCCAGCCTGGCCCCGGTGGCCCCCACGCCCCGTGCATCATCATCTCACGGGACAGCCTCTGAAGCGGCGGCCAAGGGCCAGCGCCCAGGTCAGCCATTGCCCTGGAGGCCAGGCACAGTGGGCGGGCGGTCACGCGTGCCGCTCCAGCTAACCCCGTGAGCCAGTCCAGCAGAGACGTGTGTCGGGGCAGGCCCTGAGGTCAGGGTCCTGCAGGCCAGGGCCCTACATTCCCAGCCCACCTGCAGCCCCTGCACACCCCACTTGGGGTCCCAGCAGCTGAGCCTGAAGGAAATCACTGACCACGGAGGCCTGCCCCCAGCCCCAGGCTGCGGGAAAGCAAGGGGACGAGACGGCAGAGGCCCCGGCAGCCGCCTCACAGCCTCCGACCCCGGCAGCAGACCCCCCAGCAGCTGTGGCTCCAGGACGGGCGGCCTTGCGGTGTCTGATTTTCCTGCATTTAAAATCTGCATGTGAGGGCCCCCCTGGCCCAGCTAAGGTAGAGATTGGACACGTGCCCAGGGCACTGGGAAGGGAGAGCTGACGGCGCTGCGCCCGGCTCCAGGCTCGGCCCCAGACGAAGCCACCGGATGTGGGCGCCGCCACTCGGGGCCGGCGCCTAGGCAGGCTTGGCCAGCCTGGGCCTGGGCGCTCCTCGGCACACGAGCACGATCGCACCGGCACTCGTGCCTGCAGACCGAGGACTGACAGACACCGGGATGGAGACAGGGAGGGGGCGACAGGCAGATGGATGGACAGACACAGACACAGGGCAGCAGAGCAGATGCGGCAGTGGCGGGTGGCACAGCCTGGGTGCTGCTGTTCTGGGGCGGCAGTTGCGATCGCCTGTGGGGTTGGCATGTTGGTGTCTCAGTGGAGGACAAGGCTGGTGTCTAAGGGATACCCTGACTCACGCTGCTCTTTGAGTCTTTCTGCAAATGCTCACGGCAGTGTTCTTGCTGCACCAATAGGAGAAGACTCTTATTTGCCAAGTGAGGCCGTACCCGGGGACCTCGGCCCAAAATGTGTCGACCCCGAATGTGCATTTAATTGGGGTCACTCAAGGCACTGGGGGCCCATAGGGTCTCGCTGGCTTGCAAAGCACTCGCTGACGCACGGCAGCTCTTATCTCCACCTCTGGCAGCCACTTCTGGGGTCACGCAGGGACAGCGCAGGATTCCGTGGCGTTTCTCACACAAAGCACGGCTGGTCACTAGTAACTGGGACCGTGTCTGACACGAAGTGGCCGTGCCCAGGCGGCTGCCCCCCACCCCCTGGGCCTCTGCAGGCCTGGCCGCTTCTGGGTCTGCTCTGCTCCGCACACCTTAGCACGGTTAAGTAAGGTGAGACTACCAGTCTATCAATTTTCTGTCTAATCTCAATTCATTTCGCCTCAGGTAAGATAATCCTGCGCTCTTCGGTGATGCCACTGCTGAGATAAAGAACCAGGTCAAGTGCCAGGAAGCCGCAGGGCCACCACCGGGCTTGGACACAGCCTGGTCCTCAGCGAGAAAGAGCTGAGAGGAGCCAGGGCGAAGGGCAAAGCAGCAGCGTGGGCACCGGGAGCCGCCGGCATCTAGAAACCCAGGTCCAGATGCGAGTAACTAGACAGAAGATGCAAGTTTGACCACTAACCCAGTTCTTAAACGTGAGAATTAAAAAAGTACCACTGCCCTGCAGGGTAAGCTGGGCCTAGGCCTCACCCCCACGCGCCTCCCCAGGCCCTTTAGTGTTAGGCTGAGGAGCAAAGTGCTGGAGGAGGGGCCCAGGGGTCCCCTGGAGAAGCCACTGTTTCACAGACTCGGCCCCAAGAGCAGCCGCTTTGCTTGATGCTCCAACCGGTCAGCAGGAGCCGAGCCCCCTGCATCGGGGAGGGAAGGACCCTTCATCTCCGCCTGGAGGGGCTGCCGGGCGCGCTGGGCAGGGGCCACCCCGTGAGACAGTCGGGGCTGGTCCTATAGTGACTGGCTAAGACCCTGTCTCAGGTCCTGGGAGGGCTCTGCTGGGCCGCGGTGCTGCTTGGGCACACAGGACCCCACTGCCACCCCAGGAGGCCCATGGACCAACCTCCCAGCCATGAGCTGGTGCAGCGTGGGCCAGAGCCACCCGCCACGGAGGGTGCTTCTGCAGGCTTCCCACAGAGGGTGACCTTCTGCAGACTTTGATTTGGTTGAAATAAAACAAAAAGGCAGCTGTGACAAGCAAAACTAGAGCCTGTTCCTCCTTTGGTGACACAGACACCTGCGGCAGGGGCAGAGGAGGCCATCAGGCGGGCGGGCGCACCCCCGACGGAGCTATGGTGACGGCAAGTGCAGGTGCGGGAAGCTTAGCGAGAAACCGGCTGAAACCTGAGACGAAAATGACTTGCGAACATCAGGAGATCTGGTTTACCGGCCACTGGGCAGCAGAGCAGCAGATGAGAGATGGTATCTCATGTCCGTCAGCCCGAGAGGCCTCCGGGCTCGGGCACAGCATGACACCGGCCTCGCCCACCTGACCAGTCTGACACAGCGTAAGCACAGACACAGCAAACTTCCGGCCATCACGCCCTGCTCAGCCCCCGGAGCCACACCAGGCCACAGCTCATAAGGCTGGAGAAGCTGCAGACGCACGGCCCTGTGCAGCCCCAACACCCGTGGCCAGCGGGGTGAGGATGAAAAATTTACTCTCAAGGAGAGCGAGGTGGCCCACACTGGTGGCTTTACGGGGAGACCCCCAAAGAGACAACAGGGGCCACCTGGGCCACTGGACAGGCCGGCAGGAGGGATGCTCGGCCGTCGGCCCGCGGGCCACTCACCTCAATGCCGAGCTCAAATCCCCCGCCGAGGCCCGCGATCCCGATGGCGGAAGGCGCTGACCACCCTGACAAGGCAAACAGCTCATCAGTATGGGGGCTAGCGTGGGAAAGTGGGGGGCTAGTGTGGGAAGCGGGGGCTAGCATGGGAAGTGGGGGGCTAGTGTGGGAAGTATGGGCTAGTGGGCAAAGGCTGGGGCTTCCTCCCAAAGCCACCAGAACAGGCGCCCCCTGTGTCTTCAGCATTCTCTGACAGGCACAGGGATTTTGCAGGTGAGGATGCTGGCAGGCATGGGTCTCACACCCTGCAGTGCGGCATCCTCTGTCCTGTCTCTGCAGCCTGCACAGGGCCGAGCTCTGGCCTCTTCGCCGGCCGGACAGGGCTGCATCCAATGTCCTCGTGTTTCGCAGGGAACTGAGTTGCAATCCTACCCCTTAGTCAGAATTTTCTCACAGACGTCAGGGAGCAAAAATTCTTTAAATGAGTTTATTGTGACCACTTCAAAGTGTTGGCCACAATGCTGACCTTTCTATCGCACATTTCTGAGTTTAAAGCTATCTTGACACTCTAAGCCTGGTAGAAGCACAAGCAGTGGGTACTAGTTTTGAGATTATTAGAATTCTGAATAAGACACCTTTCTGTATATTTGGTGACAAAGCCCATTTGGTGTGACCAGGCCCGTTTCGGGGCCATGGTGTGGCTGATACAGAAACAGCCCCGCTGAGGAAGTTGAGACAAAGCTTCAAATGTGGTGGGGGAGGACAGCGCGGTCCTGAAAGTGTTTCCTGGCTTCCTAAGTCTGATTTCCTTGCTGCCACTTACTCTGGAGAGCAGGGCTTGCCCGCCTGGGCCCAGAAATGACCCGCCGGCTGCCCTGGAGGTGTTTCCATCACAGAAACCAGTGTCTGGTCGGCCGACGCAGCTCTCCGTGGCTGCGAAGAGCATCCCTGCTCAGAGCAGGCCCCTGGGGTGTGCCGCTAGGCCTGGGGCTTTCAACCATCCCCTGCAGAGGGCAGCTGCTGCTGGGGGTGGGGGCTGGGGGGTGCTGCAGGTGGGGTGAGCCCTCAGGGGCTCTGCCTCCTCCAGACGGGACTGGGGGACTCCCCGAGAGTCCCCTTGCTGCGGGGAAGGTCCGGAGGGGGCACCCCCACATCCTGTCGTGTCTGTGGTCAGGACGGCCCAGATTCTCCTCAAATTAGAATCACTTATACCAAAAGGTAACAATTAACAGAAAGATGCATATGATTATGTGACTGAACAGCAAATGCTAAGTTGGTCCCCAAATCATTTTTGTTGGTCTGACTGCACGCAGTTTAGGCCGTGTGACAGACACGGCTTCTGGGGAGTCAAGGCGGACAGCTGATTTCATCTGCGAGAAATCAAGCATCACTCTGGCTCCCGTAGGTCAGACCCCCTCGGCACCAGCGTGTCTGGGGCTTTCTGCACTCACCGCCAACCGCCCCGCGCCCCCGCGCCCCGCTTGACGTCTACAACAGAAGCAGAAGCGACACTGTGACGTCGCGTGTCCAGATGTTTGTTTCCTGGACGACGGGACAGGCACAGACCAGGTGTGACCCCGCCCCATCCCGGAGTGGTGCCCGCATCCCACCCACCCCTCAGGCAAGACTGACTTACTCCCGTCTGGAAGGCGGGCCAGCACAATCCCGCTGCCCCCTCTCGCTGTGACCAGGAATCCAGCTCTGATCACGGACAGGATGGCCAGGCCCTTGGCTTTGGCAATGACATGGGCTGCAAGAGAAAGAAGACAGCAGGTGAGCGCCCCTTGGTCCAGGCCTGGCCAGTGAGAACCCTTGGTCTGCGGCGGTGGGCAGGCATCAGGCAGGGGCAGACGCAGGCAGGCATCTGGCTGACCGGGGTTGGCATCGGGCGGTCGCACGCACGCTGAGGTTTGCTGACAGGGCTCCTGGGTTCTCACTGAAGCTCTTAGTGGCACACACGAGCCATGAATAAAGCTCCCTCCCAGAGCAGATGGGCCTGAAGCCTCTGGCTCCTTCCTCATGTTATTTGTGAAATGCTGAATGTGGCATCGTCGGTGCTCCCAGTGCTCAGAGACCCTGCTGCTGCCAGAACCGGCGAGATGTTTGAATGAGATTTTATGGATAATCTAGTGGCAGGACAAGTAATCCAGAGGTTTTCGTTAATATTGGACATAAGGCATAATTTAAAAAACAAAGAGATTAATACCTATTAAGGAGAAACTCAAAAATGACCAACAGGAGCACGTGGCCAGATTTGGTCTGAAAGCCCCATGGTGAGGTCCACCTCTTAGTAACAGAAACCTGGTTCAAACCAGAAACATTCCGTGGTTTTGCCATTTTCAAAAGTTCTTTAACATTATAGAATGATCTGTAAGCGTGTGATCAACACAGCCACTAGTGCGATGAAAGCGGAACTCACTTTACAAAAATGTGGGTTCTCCACACCACGCCACGGGGTGCCAGCCCCGCTCGCCCGTGGCCACGTTCACAGCAGAACATCTTTCAAATAACAGGGAGGCCTGAATGCTGGGGCGATGCTTGGCCCCACGGTCACCTTCAGGGTAGCTACCATCACACCATCGAACAGTCTGTCAAGCCAAACCAGCACTCCTTCAAACACAAGAAAGGCTTCGCCGGACTTCTGGGAACACCAGATTTTTGACCCAATTGTGTCGCCATTTCAAGTTTAAATTAATAACTGATTCAAGAGTATGAAGAAGCCAATAGGCTTGCCCGCAATTAAGCCACATGTTGCGTTAGAAAACAAGGCCCACCTAGCAGCCAGTTCACTGCATGTGGCCACCCAGGGACCGTCCACCTAGGCCTCTCCCAGGCAGGGCCCTCCTCAGCCCAGCTCATGGGCTGTCGCGTGGCTGTCAGAGGCGTCCAGGAGGACAACAGCAGGTTTAAAATAAACACGTGTCTTGAGTGTCAAGTGTGTCTTCATAGGTTATTCACTCAAATTTAGGGACTGGTGATGGTCCAGCTGGCTTTTCAGTCCTGTGGACTTTTCATCTTGCTGAAGACTCACCCCTAAACCCGGCATCCACTGTGGACCCTCCCCTGGACCCAGTGTCTTCGCGCCAGGGGGGCGAGTGCACGCCCTAGGCCGTCCTAGGAACAGGTATTTTGGTTTGTAAATGTTCTGCAGATTTTATGTTCTAATACCCAGTAGGGCACCCTGTTTTAATGTAACCATAACGCCGCTGCCCCAGGAAGCCGCGGCCCGCCTGTCCGTCCTCCCACCACTCCCTGCACATCACAGTGTGGGCTCCCGGCCAGGCAGGGGGCGACCATCATCCCACATTGAACCGCCAGGCCCGTGGCCGCCCTCCTGCAGGCCCTGGGCAGCACCGTGTCCTCTGGCCCGCTGGCCAGCACTGCCTGCACATCCCGGTTTTCTGACTGAATTGTCTTCAAGTCCCAGAGCAGAGCTTCTCAGATGTGTGTGCCCATGCACCGGCCACACTGCTCACAAGTCCCGCTGCTGCCGCCGCCTGCCGCCCCTCCAGCTGAGTCCCAGCCGGCCGGCTGGCCACGACAATGACCGCTATTACCAATATTGTCATTAGAACAACAAATGCTGAGATTTCTCATATACTTAGAGGGCCGCTAAATAACTTCAGGAAATCTGGTTTAAGCAGTTCAGTCAGTTTCTTTGAGGCAGAAAAAAATGTGCATGTGGGAGCTAAGAGAGGCCCCGTACCACCTCCCACACCCGCCTCTGCGGGTGCCCTCGGGCACACCTGCCCTGGCAGGCCCCCGGTCAGCCACCCTGAGCCGAGCTGGGAACCTGCCCTTGGCTGGACCAGCAGGTTTGGGACTATATTTGGGTTAGGGACTATATTTTAGTGGCCAGGGGATACTGGTTGTGCCGGGAATTATGGAGGAATGTCTTGGTAAACCACATAAAATGTAAACACCTAGAAAGCAGAAAATAAAAATTTGTGAGATGAGATGAGTGAGTTTGCAAGATAAGTTGCAAAACCCTCATAAAGAGAGGACAAGGACAGATGGGTTTGGGGAAAGCTAAGGGCAGGTTGAGCCTGGGGGGCAGCGTGTGCCTGGGGGAGCAGGGGGTGGGGGGCAGTGAGGAAGGGGCTGGAAGGGCAGAGAAGGCTGGCAGGAGTCCAGCTAGGAAGACCGACCATGAGAAAGAGGACGCATTGCTTGCTGGGGTGACCACCTGAAGTCGGGGAGCACAGAGCTAACTGGCAAAGCAAAGCACGTGTAGGAATGAAGTAGGCGCCATCTGTGTGCTTTTTACCTACCGGGGATGATTTTATCAGGCCCATTTCTGGAAGTTATTTCTGTGAATTCTCTTAGAATTTTAGCGGCCTTTTTTGCTTCTGACTTCAAATTGGAAGGTATAGGATTATTCACTGAAAGAGTTAAAAAAGATTTTAATTAAACAGAGGTTAGAAATTGATTATGACATCATTTTGTTTACACACAATTAAGCATTAACAACTCATATCCATCCAGCAAAGGAAATGCATCGGAAATCCTCAATTATTGAACATTTCATCTCTGTTTTCCTAACAAATTAAAATCACTCTGAGATTGGAAAACCTTAAACTCTCAAAATTTCAGAAATGATAAATTCATGGGGTTCTAAAGTGCCTTAAATAAAATCTGGTCTAATCTCCCAACCATGTATCTTGTAATTTTTAACTCACCTCAACACTAATAAAAATCAAAATTGTAAGAATTAACAAAAGATGTATTTTACTACTGTTTATGACAGATGATATAAATTTTAATATATTTGCCCATTTTTTTCCCAGGAATTCTTGCATGGTCTGCACTGGTTTCCCTTCCTAGCACAACCCTGGGGGCCTGGACACTGTGGGCGTGGAGGGAGGAGCCAGGGAGTCCCTGGCCAAGCTGGGGCAGTGGCCTCCCGTGTCCTTGGGCCCAGCGTGACCTGCTGTTAGCCGCAGGCCCAGGGGCTGCTCCCGGCCCACCCTGTTAAGTGCTTGCTGTTCCTTAGAGCCTTGAGCTCAGCTCAGAAGACACCTCTGTCCTTCTGGGGCTGCTTCTGACTGATTTCTCCCCAGTCATGGGCTGCACCTTCCTGTTTCTGCCACCACCAGTGGGGAGGCGGCTGGGCACTGTGACTGTCACCTGCACGCGGGGCACCGGGCTCCCCTCACCGTGGCCTCGGGCCATCTCCAGCCCTCAGGTCTGGCTTTGACCCCCCAGCCGTGGTCACAGCACCTGCCTGTGACTTTTGGGCGCCCAAGCCCTCTCCATTTGGGCTGGGGCTGCAGTCTCCCTGCCCGCCCCCCGCCCCGGGGCAGTCCTGAGCCCTGTCTGGAGATCCCCACACACAGAGCCTGGGTGTCCAGCAGAGCCGCCTGCCAGCTCCCTCCCCTCTGGCCCTCTGCTTAGCTGTCTGCTGGCCTCAGCCTTGCCAATCCCAGAGCCAACCCCAACACCCGAGGTCACCACTGTGGGGTCTGCTGGAGCTGCCAGCACTGGGCGCCCCATGGCAGAGCAGGTGGGACAGGGCGGGGGGTGGGCCTGACTCACACACACAGGGCTGAGGACAGACACACCAGAGCCATGCGGCCTCCAACCCCCACAGCAGCGTCCCTGGGAGGAAACAGTAAAGATTCATCCACCGCTTCATGTCACGGGAGGGCAAATGCCACACTCACTGGCCTCTCAAACGCCAAAACCCCAGTCACCACAGGGCAGCTCCTCACACCAGTGGTGTGAGGCTGAAGGACGACAAACTTATATTCTGAGACGACGCACTTGTTAGAGTCAGGGCACGGGGCAGACACGCAGCACTAAGAAGGGGCCCCTGTCCATGCCCTGCAAGCCCCGACCCCAGTGCCCCCCCGCCTCGTGCCACCTCTGGCTGCCGAGGTAATTATCTTGGAATATGACCTTTGGGGGTTGTGTTCCCCCCACGACCCCCTACATCACATCGTCCCTTTCTCTCCTCCCTCCCTCAACGCCCGAGTGCTCACAGCGCCCATCACTGTCCGCTAGGCCCGTGGGCATGTCACGGGGCAGACTCCTGCTGCGAGTGCCCAGTGTGTTGTGCTGACCGGCCCACGGCCCCGAGCTTGGCTCACGCTGCCTGGACGAGTGGCCGCCCTTCCTCCTTCCTCTGGCCGAGCAGCATCCACGGCGGGCGGGCCCTGCCCCTGCCTCTCGCCTGCCTGTGTCCACCTCCTGGCCGCTGTAAACAGCAGCACGTGGGGACAGAATCTTAAGAGTTGGGATGGATGAGTCAAAAAAATCCAAAAATTTTTAAAGATTTATCACATCAGATTATTTTCTAAATGCATCACCATAGCTCCTTCGCTACGGCCTTCCCTGACACGTGGCCGCTGTCAGCGGGCAGACGGCAGAGCAAAGAACAGACACTGAAAGGCAGGGGACAAATCTGGTTTTTAATTCATCTGAATACACTGAGTTTTTCTTTTGTTTGTTTATACTTTCCATTTTGATATTTCTAGTCATGCTCTTTGCCTGCTTTTCTGGAGCCATAGTTTGCCTATAATTTTAATCACGTCTCAAATCTATACCTCAGCTTGCTGGTTTTAAAATGTCAATTCAGCATTTGCTTGTATTTATTTTTATTTTTTTAAAAACATAATACTGGCTACTTAACCTCAGGAGCATTTCAGCTAAACATACCGGAAACTCTAACAAATGCTGAAAGTCGTGTTCAGGGTGGAAGGCTCTTGCACCCTCACGGGGTGGTGGCTCTTTGCTTTGTCGGGCAACGGCGAGTCTACAGTTAAGAAAACAAGCGGCTTGAGAGGACAGCACTGGACGAAGACTGCAGATGCACCCGTGCCAGCCCTGCCAGCTGAAGGCGACCGAGTGCAATGCTGAGCCCCTCACAGTCCCCAGATCCCAGCGAGGCCCCCAAGGGCACTGCACTGCCCCCAAGGCATCGGCCCTCAGCCTCTATCCAACATTCTGCGTTACTGTCCAGGTAATACATTACATATTTGACCCACTTCAAGCTTATATTGGTGCAGGATGTGTAAGAACCAAATATTTTAAAACATGCACTTTATTGAATATTTCACAGCACGTAATTAAAAATGACTTTTAAAAAAGAATTAAAAAAATCTTTCATGATGAAAGAATATTCATAGTAACGACACATCTAAAAATACGTATCAGCGATGACATACCCACCGTGACGGTCTACCCATCTGTCCAGCCACCTCCTCCCTTCCTTCCGCCTGCTTCCTTCCGCCCACCTGCCTTACTTACAAACGCTCCACCAGAACGGGAGCGCCCTGGGGTATGTACATTGACTATTTTATTTTGTTAACTGTAATATTGCCAACCCATGTCTTAATGGCATTCGGTGAGTATCCAACAAACATCTGTTAAATGAACAAGAGACTTGTGGGGATTAAAGCTCAAATCCCTGTTAAGGGATAGAACAGGATCATTTACATAGACAATCCAGTGGATTTAGCAGCGAGTACACAACATCTCCAGACCCTGGGGGGGGGGGGCAGGTGGGCGAGTGCCCTCAATCACCCTCCCAGGTCTTCCCAGGACAGACACCCCCATCTCAGCGCTCCAGGAGCCTCGCCCCGCACCTCTGGGCTGCACTGGGGCCTGACCAGCACCCAGCACAGCAGCATGCTCAGGCTGCCCAAGCTGCAAGGGGATACCCCTACTCCCCAGGACCTCCAGGGACAAAGGGACGCCGCCTGCACAGAGAAGGGGGCAGAACACAGTCTTTCTGCTCTGGCACTGCAGTCTATCATCGGAAATCCACACCCCATCACCCCTTATCCCGCCGCCTTCATCCAGAACAGCGCTGCGGCCCACCCTGCCCAGCACCTGGCTGCCTGGCAGCCCCTCCGTGTGGACACGGCGCACTCCCTCTCACAGTCAGCACAGAGGACGCTTCCACGGTGCCACCCTGCACAGGGCAGGCACCCCGATTCTGCCCACTCAGAACAGGCCTCTTGCTTGGCTACGGCGTCCCGCCCAGCCACCACGTGCAGCCACTGTCCGACCAGGGCCGGCGCAGGAGCTGCCAGAGCCGCCACTTTCCCAGGCTCTTCCCTCTGGACGTGTTGGAAGATCCCACCCCAGGAGAAGCTGGGCGCAGTGCCAGGCAGAAGCGCACGGGGGCAACACCCTTCACTGCCAGCGTCAGCCCAGTCGGCCTTTCAGACACGGGAAGTGCCAGCGCAGCAAACAACACCTAAGTTTTGGCCACAGAAGTTTCTACCTTGAACTCTTATCAACCAAGCAGAATAAAACCAGTCAAATCAGCAAATTCCACAGTCAAGAGTTTCTGTGCAAACATCCGGCTGGGGCCCTTGCAGCCTGGTCTGTAAACACAGGCGCATGGCCAGCTTGGGAAGGCAGAGCCAGCCTGAGTCCGCAGGCCCGGTCCTGGGGCGGGTGTGTCCCTGGGCTGCAGACCAGCTGCGGGTTCCCTTCACCGCACGGACCTGGCAAAGGCCTGGCCCTCTCTTCCTGTGTGAGGCCCAGTCAGGGTGCCAGCAGCCCCACCCATCTCCTGGACACCCCACCAACCTTGGGGCCATGAGGGGCGGTGCCTCGTCATCATGAGACTGAAGGGACAAGGACAGAGGACAGCTCGGAAGAAGCCCTTTCAGTCTGGAAGATGGTCAGCCTCTGAACAGTCACAGAAGTGTTAGTCTCCTGAACCCCAAGGCAAAGCAAATCCTCTGTAACTATTGGGGGTTTTCCTGAGGAGGACTGTCAAACCTCAAGCTAGAAAACTTTGATGTAAAGTTTTCTTTCATAAGCAATTAAAATATTTAAATGTACACTAAGATGATTTTTTTTTTTTTTAATTAAGAAGAGCTGATGAAATACTGGGAGAAAACTTTTGCTTTGGAAATTCCAAAAGCTTGAGCTGAATAGAAGGTGTGAGACGACTCACATTGTCATCACAGGTAGCAGAGTCAGAGCCAGGTCACTGGGTCATGCAGGACCTGAGGCCCCTCCTGGAGGCCTGGCCACGGGCAGGTGGCCTGGGCTGGTGTCTGGAGCGGGGGAGACAAACACAGCTCACTCAGCCCCAGAGCCCCCATCTCCTGCCTCCAACAAGCACGTGTGCTCCTGCCCGCTGATACTCAGTCACAAGGGGCACCCGAGGGAGAGAAGGCATAGACACAGTTTTCCATTAACTAGACATTAATCAAATTTTTAGCTTCATACTTTCCATGAAACAGGGTAATCAAAATCCCAACTAAAATCAAAGAACCTGAAACGGGAGGTTTTTGGAGAATGGGCTTCTGGGCCCTGGCGCAGGGCCTGTGGGCAGGCCCAGCTGCTCTGGGCACCAGCCCAGTCCAGTGATGAGGATCCGGCTGCGGCAGCCCGAGCCGGGATCAAGTCTGGGGTGCAGGCTGGAGTTCCCCTTTCCACGGGGCATTGGAATTGAAAACAGATCCGTCTGATTGTGCCTGACTAGCACCAACCAGACAGTGAGGGTGGAGATGGCCAGTTGGGCTTGAAGGACTGGGGAGCAAAGTTGAGGCTCGGGGCGGGGTTCACCCAGACTCAGGGTCAGGCTCGCTGGGATCTCCCCTGGAAAGACTTTGTGGATAGACGCATCTGGAGACTCATCTGACCTCCTGGGAGAGGGTCACCGGCCGAGACCTCCGCATCTGATCTCACCTGAACGGCAGCCTCTGCTGCTCCTGCCTGGGACGGTGCCTGGGACGGCCACCACAGCCCGGGCCATGGTCTCGAGGGCACTGACTGTGGGCTGTGGCCCTCGTGCCTGCATGCTGGCACCAGCAGCATGGCCAACCTGTGTCCTGCCACCTCCAGGAGCTGGCCACCCCCCCCCGCCCCCGCCAGTCCTTGCCGGCCTCCTGGTGGGTGGCCGCTGTGGGGCCATGTCTGGGGCTGCCCAGCTCCACTTCCTGGAGCAGGTCTTGGCCCGCCCTCGCTGCTGCGCCCCCAGCACCGTCCTGAACCAGTGGCCTTTGTTGAGGACACTGGACACCTCAGACACTGTCTGGGGCGAGACCACTGGCCACCTGGGCTTTGGAAGCCCTTCCCTTCCCCAGTCTTCTGCTGGCTAGCAGGCCCGGTTGCTGCATGCCCTGAGCCTGCGTGGATCTGCGTGGACCTGCAGCCGCAAGCATGGGAAGCCCAGACCATGGCACTGCCTGGCTCCTGGCACTGCCTGGCTCCTGCAGCTTTACAGCTGGAGTGCTGCTAAGGAAGCACTTCAAATAAGTTGATTAAATCTCGGCCAAAACTCTCTAAATGATGCCATCTTTGAAGCACCATTGGAACACTGCCTTCAGCTCAGGCCTTTATCAGGACATTCTCACCTGGAGAGTGGCCGCTGGGCCCGCCTCTTGGCCCCATACTCGCTGGGCAGCCCCAGCCTGCTCTCCCGTCACCACCAGCTCTCCCCATCCACACTTCAGACCCACTGACCTCTGAACCCCAAACATTAGTGTGGCCAGGGCGTCCTTTTGGCTCCCCTGGCCCAGGCGGCAGTAGGCACAGAGCGGGGAGGGCCTTCACAGGAAGGCCGGTGGCCGCACCACCTCCCCTTCCTCAGGCTGAGGGCGGCCTGGGCGCAGCGTCTGCAGGGACGACAGATTCTCCCCAAAGACAGAAAGTCCCTGCCAGGCCTTGACCTGAGCTGCTCGCCCAGGGCGCTGAGCCCAGCATGGCCGGCTCAGGGTCCACTTTATTTTCTTTAGAAACACATCCTTGCACATCCTTGCATCTAAGGAGTGAGAACTCTCCTGGGAATGGAGATTTCTAAACGGAATAAAAGCATGAAATCGTTCATGATGAACAAAACATTAGTTTTCACCCTTGCAGAAGCAGAGGGAGTGCTCGCCCCACAGAACGCCCACAGAACGCTCACGAGAACAGCAGCAAACTGCTCCCCCACTCAAACCTGCGCAGACACTGGAGCTGCCCCTCATCTGAGCACTTTGACCTTCAACACGGTGATTTGGCAGCTACAGGTCAGTGCCCAGCAGGTGGGTGGAGGCGCCCGGGGGCAGGGCGCAAACCAGGTCAGGCGTCTCCCCACACCCCAATGAAAGCTCCCCAGGACTCCAGCAGCTTCCTGGGGGGCCTGGGCCAGCCCTCCTACCAGAAGGGTGTGGCCCTGGGACTCCAGGCTCTGGACTCCAGCCTCTGGCCCAGCACCTTCCAGCTCAGCCTTGGAGAAGCATCTGGACCCGGTGGTCGCAGTGAGGTGAAAACACAAGTCCTCAGCCAGCAGGGACCCCGCGCCCTGCAGCCCGCGGGGAGCAGCTTCATACTTTCTTAAATAAGGGAAAACCCAGCGGGCGGGCGGCCCCCAAGCTGGGAGGGCAGGCGGGCCTGGGGGGGCGCGAGGGGGGCCGGACAAGCCCCTCCCTCCGGGGCGCAGCCTGGGGCGCCCGGCCTCTCAGAGGCGGCCAACGAACCCCAGTCGTCACCGTGGGAAACGCGGGAAGCGATTTTCCGTGCGCGGAAGCGGCCTGGCCAAGCCGGGTCAGGGCCGGCGCCAGGCCCCGGGAACTGGCTGGTCTCCAGGCCGCCGAGGGCCCGAGGCCCCGCGCGCGCCGGGCAGAAGCGCGGACATCCCGTGTCTCTCGGCCCCTCACCGACGAAGCGCCCCGTCCCGCGAAACTCCCCCGGGCAGGGCGCGGTCCAGGTGAGCCTCCCAGCCTCGCCCGTACTCACTGCTGCCCGGCCGGGTCCGCGGCGGCCCCCGCCGCGCCTGACCAGGAAGAGGAAGGGCGCGCGCCGGCCCCGCCCCCGGGGCAGGGCCGCGCCGCCAGGGCACACCTGGGCCAGGTGAGGGGCGGGCCACAGCCCGCGTGCATCAGGGCCCAGCTCCGGCTCCCGCTTTCTCGGAGACAGCGCCGCGCAGCTCGGGCTGGCGGGGGAGGCCCGCGCCCCTCCCGGCCGGGCGGCCTCGGAGGCGCCGGGATCCAGGTGCGGGGACGCCCCGGCCACCGGCCGTGCGCCGCGATTCCGCCGCGGGGGCGGGCGGCGGCCAGGTCGTGAGAGGGCGGCCCCCGCGCCCGGCCACCGTGGGGACCCCCTGCCGGCCCCGCGCGCCCGGGACCCTCCGCGGCCCCCGCGCCCGGCACGTGCCCCGGGCCCGGGCACCCTTCGGCGCCGGCACCGCCGCCACGTGACCGGGGCCGCCCTCCGGGCCAGGCGACCCCGGCCGCGCCCCAGGCCCCGCCCCCGGCCAGGTGACCCGCCCCGCCCCCTCCCGGCCAGGCGACCCCGGCCCCTCCCCAGGCCCCGCCCCCGGCCAGGTGACCCGCCCCACCCCCTCACGGCCAGGTGACCCGCCCCTCCGGCCAGGAGACCCCGGCCGCGCCCCAGGCCCCGCCCCCGGCCAGGTGACCGGCCCGCCCCCTCCAGGCCAGGTGACCCGCCCCGCCGGCCAGGCGACCGGCCGCGCCCCGGCCCCCCCCGGCCGCCAGGTGACCGGCCCGCCCCCTCACGGCCAGGCGACCCGCCCCGCGCCCCGGCCAGGTGATCGCCCCGCCCCCTCCGGCCAGGTGACCCGCCCCTCCCCGGCCAGGCGACCGGCCCCCCAGGCCCCGCCCCGGCCAGGTGATCCGCCCCGCCCCTCCTGGGGGCGGCCCGCCGGCGGGCGGCGCTGGAGCCCGACTGCGCAGGCGCGGGCCGCGGGCGGGACTGCGCAGGCGCGGGCGGACGCGCGTCCTGCGCGTGCGCGTCTCCGGACAGCCCGGCGGGTCGGCGGGCTCGGGCGCGAAGATGGCCGAGCCGGTGCCCACGTCGGTGCTGTTCGTGTGTCTGGGTGAGCGGCGGGGCCGGCGGGGCCGGCGGGGCCGGGGGCGGGCGCCGGGCCTCCGCGATGCGCGCGCCGCCACCCCGGGGCCCCCGTCGGTCCCTGCGGCCGCGCCTGGGCCGGCCCCGGAGGCTCCGCGCGCCGCCCGCCCGGGGTGTGTCCAGCGCCGCGCGCGGCCGAGGGCGCCCTGGCCCCGGGCCCCCGGGGCGCCTCCCGGGCCGCGTTCTGGGCTCCGCGCGCCCCGCGCCCCGCGCCCCCGCGCCGGGCCCTGCCGCGGGGCCTGCAACCGGGCGCGGCCCCGAGTGCCGCGCGGCTGCGCCCGCCTGGCCGACCCGCGCCTCCCGGGGCGCCGCCGTCCGCGCGCCCGCGCCCGCGGCCCGGCCCGTCTGCCCCGCGGCCGGGCCCGCCCCGCAGAGCCGCAGCCGGCGCGGCGCACCCCGGGGTCCGGCGGAGCCCGCGGCCGGGACGGGCCTGCGCGACCCTGAGGCCCCGGCGCGGGCCGGGCGCGGCCGCTCGGGCCGGGTCTCCGGAGGTGGAAAGCCGCCTCGACCCGGCGTCCGCGCCGGCCGCGCTGCGGGCAGTTCCGCGGGCAGCCGGGCCGCTCCGCTGGGCGGGCGCCGTTCCGGGCGCCGGGCGGAGCCGCCTCCGCGGCGGCAGCGCGTGTCCCCGCCGCGGCCCCCGCCCCCCCCGCGCCCTCAGAGCCGGCCGCGGGCGGGGGGGGCGTCGGAAAGGCCTCCCCGCGCGGACGGTGGAGCCGAGGCCGGCGAGGGTGGGGAGACCCGGGGGCTGTGCGCGCGGATCCTGCCCGAGGAGGCCGGCGGCTCTGGAGCAGCAGCTCCTGCCGAGATGCGCAGGGGCAGGGCTGAGGGGGCCGCGCGGCCGACCCGAGGATGCCTCAGGCCGCTCCGGTCCCGTGGGCGCCGCGCCTGCACGCAGCCGGCGGTCCCCTTGCGCGGGGAGACGCGGCGCCGGGGGCGCAGGCGTCTCTCAACCCTGTGCGGGGCGCGGGGCGAGCGTCTTGTGTTTTGAGGCCGCGCCCAGGCTCGGGCGGGCTGTGCTCCTGCAGAACGTCGTGGGTGCTGGCGTTTGAGTCGGGCGGCGACACAGCCGTCTGCTTTCGCGTTTCCGACGACTTCCAGCTCTGTGACGGGGGCGGGGGGGGCAGCCAGGCCTAGTGTTCCCCTGTCAGGTGCCCAAGGGCCCTGGGCTTGCTGGGAGTGACCAGCCGCTGGAGGGTGAGTGGGGCTGGGAGGTGACCCTGGGCTAGGTTAGAAACAACTGTCCAGCTGTTGGGTTTCGGCTACACAGAGTGAGCCTTGGAGGAGCAAGGGGCCTGCATCCTGTGGCCCGCGTGGGACGGTTAAGCGTCTGCGTTTGAAACATAAAAACTTTATTCCTTCAGTGCACTGTTTGGGCCCTTTCCAGGCTGAAGTGCAGAGAGGCCTGGGGAGTTTTTCGTTTGAAAGGCTGATGGCAGAAAGGGGCAAAGGCCTCCCTTGGGTGAGGTTATTGGAGTGGCCTGTTTCTGTGAGATAGTGTGGGGGCGGCGGGCAGAGGCGACAGCCCGACCCACCCTGCAGGGCGAGGCCTCCGTCTGGGGCCTCCGTCTCAGGCTCCAGTGGGGCCGCTGCCTCCGCTCCTCCTTGGGTCTGTCCTTGAGGTTGGGTGCTGAGTCAGTGACTGTGCTGCCGGTTTGGGAGCAGCGAGGCTGAGAGGTGACAGGTTGAAAGGCGTCTAGAGCTTTGCCGGAGATGAGGGGGGTGTGCTCTGCCGCAGGTCACGCTCAGGTGTGATGCCAGCCTTGGGCGTCGTGAGCCTGCGCCCCGGCCACAGCAGCGGGCGCCCCACCTGCTCCGGGTGGCATGACTGTAGCCCTTGCAGCCCAGCCTGCCTTTCCGTCCACACGTGCACACGCGTCTTCTCGCTGTAAATACTGCTGTCTGGGCCAAGGGTGAATGTGCTTTAACTTGAAGGCGGTAGCAAGAAGCGGGGCCGCACAGGGGTGTGGGGTATTGGGGTGAGGGGCTGCTGGGGTTGCGGGGAGGTGGGGTGTGCGGGTGCCTGTGGCCCCTCCGTCAGCTGACGCGTCCTCTGCCCCTCCCCAGGTAACATCTGCCGCTCCCCCATCGCAGAGGCAGTTTTCAGGAAACTCGTGACTGATGAAAATGTCTCAGACCACGTGAGTTCTGCTCTCTCCAGGGGCCGATGTGAATGTCTTTAGATCAAGAAACAGCAAAAACGGCTCTTTTTCTCTCCCGCAGTGGCGGGTGGACAGCGCAGCGACGTCCACGTACGAAGTGGGGAACCCGCCCGATTCCCGGGGCCAGCGCTGCCTGCGGAAGCACGGGGTGCCCATGAGCCACGTGGCGAGGCAGGTATGCGCTCAGGCTGTGCTTTGTGTTGCAGTGGGTCGTGGACAGCGCCGCCGTGTCCGACTGGAACGTGGGCCGGTCGCCAGACCCGAGAGCTGTGAGCTGCCTGCAAGGCCACGGCATCCACACGGCCCACACGGCCCGACAGGTAGACAGACCTGCTTCCTCTGGTGCAGCCGGCAGGGCGCCTGCATGTCCCAGCGTGCTCGTGCTGCGAGGCGGGCCTGCGGCCGGACGCCGAGTGGGCCTGCTTTGCGCTGCTGTCTGAGTTCCAGCTGGACATCAGGCCACGTGCCGCGTGCCCCATTTCAAGTTTGCCGCTAGGACAGATTCCTGTCACATCCGCATACCCGGCGTTCAGCTGAGAAGTGGCTGGGCAGCCAGGGCACTGTTGTCGGGGACTTACCCTGCCTCCAGCTGCCCCCTCTGACCTCCCTCTGGGGCCTCTCAAGCGCCCCCAGTGAGGAAAGCCTGCTGGGAAGCCACCGCCAGCATGGGGAGGACGGGGCTCTGGATTCTCGCTGACTGAGCAGCCAGCGGGACTGGGGTGCCTCACTGGGCCTGCCACCCAGGAAGGAGTACGGCTCATGGGGCAGCGGGTCTGTGGACACAGGCTGTGGGGGTGGCAGCCGGACACTGGCTTCTGAGGGGGTGGGCTGCTCCTGTGTGGCTCCACGCCTCGTCCCCTCTCTGCGGTCATCACTTGTGGAAGTTCAGCTGCAGTTTTAAAACTCCTGACTAAAACCTTCTAAGTCACTGACACCCCCTCTGAGGCCTAGGGTCGGTCTGGGGAATGGACACCTGCACATCCGGCCAGAGCGGGGCTCTGTGTGCTTGGAGTCTGCTCTGAGGGAATTCTGGGGGCTTCCATGCCCTGCAGTGAGGCTCGCTTGATGCCCCCACACCCACTGTTTCTGGAGGAGCTGTGCTGCCAAGATGCCCTGGATGTCTCCAGGGGGTGTTTGCTGGGGTGGGTTGAGGATGCAGGCTGGCAGGGGTGAGTAGAGGGGGCCAGTGGGGAAACATACGCGTGGGCCGCAGCCCGGTGGGCACCCCTCAGAGCACTGCGGGTGCTGGTGAGCGCCCACCCCCCAGATCTCTGTCCTTGGAGCCAGCCGACGCGTGTTGGGGTCTGGTCTTCTGGGCACTGTCTGGGCTCATCCCCCATGGCTGTTGCACTGACCAGTGTGTGCAGGAGCCCTGTGGGGGTATTGGCTATGGCCGCTCTTTCTCAGCCGTTCTAACTTGTGCCTGCCCTGTGTGGTTTGACAGGCCCGTTCCCGAGTCTCTCTCTGCTGGTCCATAATCACACCCATTTCCCGACCAGGCGGGGCTGCTGTGGAGGCCGCGGCTGCAGCCTGAGCATGTTGCCGTCCTCCTGCGCCCACGGTTGGGGCCGCCCCCGTGGGTGGCCAGACGTCACCTTCTCCTGCAGCTGAATTTCAGAGGTTTTTTAGTGCGGAGGACTGGCATCGCATTGCACCCCTCACCCGCAGTCACGTTGTGCCCTGCTTTCTTCTGTCGGTTATCATAGTCAGAAATCATTAAACACTTCAGCCTGGACACGCTAGTGCTGTTGTGTTCTAGATCACAGTGTCAGGAAATTGAGTCACATCACAGGTGACCTGCGCCCTGAAGGCCGAGTGCCTGGTGGTTGTCTCCTTGGGGTGCCGGCTGGCGCGGTGCACACCTCAGGCTCCCTGGCCACAAGCATCTGCGGTGGGCCCTGCGTCTGCCCCTGCCAGGGCGCCCTCAGGCTGGGGAGGCTCAGGGCCTGGGGCTTAAGCACTAATAGGAGGAAAACCTGCGAAATGGCGCCAGGTGAGCACGTGCCTGGCCTGGGGGCTGCTTTCTCGCTGTGGGGGCCGGAGCTCTGTCCCTTCTGGCTATGCAGGGGCTTCATGGCGAAGATGCCTTCACAGCACCATTTGGGGAAATAGGTCAACTCGACACAGACACATTTAACTTAGTGACCAGGCGTAAGGGCACCTGCTGGTGGGGGCGGGCCCAGGTGCAAGCCCTGGCCCCGCCCGAGCCCTGCTGGCCGCCTGAGAAGGACAGTGTGCCTCGTTTTGGTTTCAGGTCACCAAGGAGGACTTCGCCACGTTTGACTACATCCTCTGCATGGATGAGAGCAACCTGAGGTAAGCGCGTCCTCATGGGCTCGGCCACCGCAACTCACTGCAGGCCCAGGCGCTCTTGCCTGCCATCTGTCCCCATGGCCCTTGAGGGCTACCGCCCACCATGTGTGGACTCGCCTGTCTGCAGCGAGAGGGCCTGTGGGTGTCTGGAGGCCCTCCTCGGCGTGGGCCTGGGCATCCACCCGTGCCCCTCCGTAGGGGGCCTGGGGCAGCAGTGACCACATAGGCGTGTCCTGCTGTTTTGCCACCTTCACTTATCCACTCCAGCACCCTCTGGACTCCAGCTCCCCCCAGGGTCCCTGGGTGCTGTGGCCGGCCGGCTGTGTGCCCCTGCACTACGGGGCTGTCCGTCTCAGTACAGGCGCCCGGGATGCCAGCATATGGGGCATCCTAGTGCGGTGCTCCAGCTGCCAGCCGGGTCCTGTCCCACCGTGCGAAGGGCCTGCTGCCAGCCAGGGGCGTCCACTCTGCTCCCAGCACTGGTGGCTGCACGGGCGGGGCTGGGACCCCAGGGCCCAGCTGCCCTGTGTCGCATGTCCTGCGCAGGTGGTGTCACTGAGGGAGAAGGGCCTGTCCTGCCACCTGCACAACCTCAGGGCTATCAGACCAGGTGCAGCCGGAGTCCTCACGCTCGGGTCTCTAGTGCCCACTGCAGGCCCCGGAGCGGGGCCCAGCGCAATGGCCGTTCTTAGACCCCTTGCAGCCTTGCCGGGTTTGGTCTCCGAGAAGGGGAGACAGGTTCCCTTGGACTGCCGTGTGCTCTGCTGGCCATGCCCTGTGTGAGGCTGGTGGGCACCCTCCCCAACCCGTGCCTGGGACAGGCCTGTGAGGGCCACCCCCGCCCTGCCGGCCGCATCCCCCAAGGGTGTGGCTCCATGGGGACTCCGTGGACACCAGCAGGTGCCCATGGAGCCACAGATCAGAGCAGCGAGTCCTTGTTTCAACCCAACAGAGACCTGACCAGGAAAAGCAGCCAAGTCAGAAACTGCAGAGCGAAGATCCAGCTGCTCGGGAGCTACGACCCCCAGAAGCAGCTCATCATCGAAGACCCCTACTACGTGAGTGCCGCCCTCGCGCCCGCGCCCCCCGTGGGGCGCCCGCCCTGACGCACTGTCACCCGCAGGGGGACGAGTCCCACTTCGAGACCGTGTACCAGCAGTGCGTGCGCTGCTGCCGCGCCTTCCTGGACAGCGCCCGCTGACCCGCGGTGCGGCCGCTCTGTGGTGAACCCGCTGCCCCGCGTCTTGGGAATGACTGTCCAGAGCTGGTGTGTTCAGCAGAATAGTAATAAAGCTTCTGACCCAGCCAGTTGACGGCGCAGTCACTGCTCTTAGGCTGGACGAGCGCCCTGCCCGCCACACGGCGGCGGGACAGGAGCCCGCCCGGGAGGACGCGCGGCCGCTGGGGCGGGAGGTTGGAGGGGACAGTCGGGAGGGCCTGGCCGGGTGAGGGCTGCCGGGGGGATGGCCGGGATCCCAGGAGCTCAACACCAGCAGCGCCCTCAGCACGTGTGTGAGCGGCGGGACGCCTGGTGCATGGGCATTGTCTGGTATCGAGGCCTCAGCACTCACTCGCTCCTGCCTGGACCATCCTGCCTCAGAGTGCTGGCCCGGAGGCCGCTCGCGCCAGCTGGCTTGCCTGCACCAGTGGGGGACGGGTCTGCTGTGCTCCTGTCACCCAGGTGTCAGACACCAGTTGGCTTGGTGGGAAAGAAACATCAGAAAAAGCCTTGATTTGGAGGGCTTGTGTGTTGGTGAGTGAGTCTCCCCTGCTCTGTCAGCGCTTAGTGTGTGGCGAGCACAGGGATCCCTCTGTACTGAGGAGAGATAGGAGGTTCCCACAGACCCACACCAGTGCAGATGGCCTTCAGGATAAACTGAGGAGGTCACACTAGCAGAGGTGGGGGGGGGGGTCCTGCCCTATGGCCTGTGGCCCCAGGCATGCTGTCTGTCTGTGTGCCCAGAAGATGGGGATGAGCAGGGGCTTCCGCTTCCACAGAAATATTTATGGCAGAGGCGGGAGGTCCTGGCCTGGCCATCCCCGTGGATACGCTGCTCATCCTGGCCCTTCCAGGCCTCTGCAGCTGGAGAGGGCTTCACCCTGCCTTCACCCCACCTTGCAGCCAGTGGCCCCAGTCCTGAGAGCAGGGACTCTCAGTCACAGGCCCATCTGGAGTGTCCACTCCCCAGTATCCTGGGCGTCAGGCAGGGCGGGCAGTCCTGGATGCTGTGCCCCAGGCTGGGTAGCCGTCCACCTGCCCCCAGCAATGACAGGCACCCCGATGGGGAGATGTTTGGCCAAAGCAGAGATTCTTACCCTGAAAACTCTTCCTAGGACACATCGGAAACCGGAGGTAAAGTAGTTGGGGATCAGGTAAGGGCGTCCTGACAGGTCAGGAATGAGGGAAGCAGGTTAAGTGACTGCATTTGGCAAACAGGATTGACACGCTTCAGGCGTTTACAGCCAAGCAGCCGATCACTGCTAGGGGACGTCAAGGAAGTTGCTCTTTGCTGCTTCCTCGTATTCACGAGTAAACCCATCCAGCTTCTTTCACGTCTGCCTGCACCTCGGAGAGGATGCTCAGCCACCCCGGGGCGCTCGCCTGCCTTCCTGGAGGGGACGGGAACACCTGTTGACCTCACTGTCTTAAAATTGTGTCCAGTCTGGGCAGCTAAGAGGCCTTTCCTCAGCCTACTGCTCATGATCACGGGGTCTTAAGGGGAACGAAGGCGCACACTCATCCAAAACGCTCCCCACCGAGTCAAGCTCATTCTGAGAGCCAAGCCCCCGCGTGTGGCACCCGCGCGGGACGGGGGCGGGGACCGTGGGGGCGCAGACTGTGGGCTCCCCTCGAGCCTTTCGCCTTCCTACTGCCCTCTTCACAGAGGCCTCAGTCACAAATGCCTGACGACAAACTTGTTGGGCAACAAGGCTCAGTTGGAAGAATGCACTTTAACAGAAGCTGTTTTATTCCCGTGCGGATGCCCCGCAGTGGGAGCAGCGGCAGCGCACGACCCAGCAGCGCCGCCCACTGTCCCAGAGACGGGCTGGAGGGCGCTTCTTCGCAGTTCCAGATAATAGTGTGGGGGTTTCATTGTAAAGTAATACAAAATATTAAACCATACCCTATGCCTTATGAAAATAGAGTTTGATTCTGCTTGTTTCTAAGAAATACTCCTCGCTGGGAGCGGCCTGGCGCAGCAGGCAGGCCAGGCCTGGGTGCCCCACTGGCTCGCCGGGCAGCGCCTGCAGCGGGCATCTGCGGCGCCATGGGGGAGTCCGCAAAAATAAAGCTCTTGTTCGCGCGGCGTGTTTGTCAAGGTAGTGGGTAGTCCCGTGGGTCAAGGCACTTCTTGAGGTCTCTGCGGTGCGGCCCTATGGACACGGTCACGGCGCCGTTGCCGTCTGCAGGCCCAGTCAGCCAGGGGCAGGGCCGCTCTGCTGGCAGCTGAGGGTCACGGGGCACCGCTGCCGCTGCCACTGTGCTAAAGGGGCAACAGTGAGTGGGTTAAAGCCAGCCCAGCGCCTGCTTGGCTGTGTCACATGGGCTCGGGCAAGCTCGTGGTGACGGGGCCTGCGGGGCCAGCGGTTGGGAGTGGACGCTAGGTGGGGATCAGGTAAGGGCGTCCTGACGCTAGCACGGGGTGCCCAGCCTGCGTGCGCTGTTCATTCATTACAGAAATGCTGAGGCTGTGGTGCTGCACACTGGCAGCTCCGTTTTGCTGCCTGTGCTCCAGGGCGGGCCAAGTGGGGAGGCCTGCGGTGTCTAGCAAGTTGGGGCGGGGACTGTGTCCCTGGGGCTCTGGGGAGCAGGAGGCACCGGGGTTTGCTCTGGGACACATGGAGGGTCCCTGCGTGACCCTCAGAGCCTTGGGGGCAGGCCTGGTTGGGAAGAGGACTCACTGCCCTCGCGCCGGGCTCGCAGGGCTCCCGTGTGCAGTGGCCACTGCCCACCCCCGTCTCGCCTGTGCCCGCTGTCGTGGCTGGCCTTGAAACCGCAGGATTAGAAGTTAATCTTCAGAAAACCCTGTCGCAATTATTACCATTAGCTGAAATAGCTGTGATTTAAACTTGACCCATTTCTCGGGCAAAATATACGCAAGTGCCGGTACTTGTGGCGACTGGCGTGGACCGCGGTGGCTGTGGGCACGCACCTCAGCCCCTCACTGCCAGCGTGTGACTCGGGTGCTGGCCTGGGCTCGAGTGGCACGTCTGCCCCACACGCCCGCCCCACCCGCGTCTGCAAGCGTTCACGCTGCCGTCAGCCCTGGAGGGCAGAGGGGCCGAGCTCGCTCAGGCAGCTGTGGGCAAGCACTGGCCGGCTCACAGGCGTGGCCGGGGCCTGTGGCCACCCGCAGGCCACAGCCAGGGGCGCCTTGCTCCCCACTTGTGAAAAGTGGGCGCTGTTTCCAAGGACATGCTTTACCGAGAAATGCTTCCTAAAAACAACACTCGTCCGCCCCCGCATCTCACCTTGGGAGATTCACAACATCAATCACTGCTTTCAAAAGAAAGTCCTTTCTGTGGGCCGTGTGGCAGCGGAAGAGAAAGGACAGCACCATGGGAGGGCGAGGCTGTAGGCCCGGCCGCGGGCCCAGCCCTGGGGTCAGAGCTGCCGCCCCCTCCAGCCGCTCCTTCCCCACCTGCCTCGCTGCCCCACTGGCTGCCCCCCTTTACTGGGGAACCCGAAGGTGGGAGGTTCAGGCCTGGGCCTCCATGCCCTGCCCAGTGGGGGTGGCCCAGCCACTGCTTGCCAGGGTGAGCAGCTTCTCACCACATATGAAGCCCTGCAGTCCACCCATCCGCGTGCGGCCAACTGCAGTGGCCACCGGGAAAAGCGCTGCGACCCCTGATCCTAGGCCACTGACAGGTTTTCTGGGAATGGCCACTCGCACGCCGGGAGCCTCTCGGTGGGGACGGTGCTGACACAGACAAGACACAAGCAGAGTTTCACACGACCGCAGTGGCCTCTGTTGGGAAGGGGCCCTTGTGCCCTGCGGGCCAGGCTGGGTGCTGGGCCCTGAATTCTGGGTGTGCGCTGACGTCTGCCGTTACAGGCTGGGAAGAAGTGACTGACAGAAGCATTTAAAAGGCCAAGGTGCTCACCAGCCCCTGAGGCCCTGAGTCCAATGTGGACACTCGCAGGCACACCCTGGCAGGCCGCGCAGGCCAGTCAGCGCGCCCCAGTAGGCCGGGCTGAGCTGCTGCCCACTCTGGTGTTTTCAGTGTCAGAGCAAGGGACGATAGCCAAGAAGGGGTGTCTGGTCTCCAGGGCAGTTCTGTCCCGAGCAAGAGGCCCCGGCCTACGGCCGTAGACGCGGTGGTGCTTACCTCACCCCTCCAGGCACACGGGGCTGACCGCGAGTCGCATCAGGAGCCTGGCACAGCGCTTGTAATCTGCAGGAGACACAGCAGCCTCAGCAGCCCAGAAGTCGACCCACTTCCTCCCCGCGCCCGCGCTGCCGCCCCCCTGCAAACAGCCGGGGCAGGGCCAGGGCGGTCTCTACAGCCGGCAGGGGCTGGCAGTTGCCGGTGACGGCCATGGACTCCCAGGTCAGAGGGGGCCGCGGGACTGGGAGGGGGTGCAGAGCCCCACACTCCTTGCCAGCTCTGCACCCCGGCTGCCAGGGCTCTGCGGGTGACCAAGCCCGGAGCAGGCGGCCTCCAGCCCGGGCTGCGCGGTGCAGACCAGGCCCTACCCGGATGTGCCTCGTGCACAGATGCGTGGTGGGCGGGGCCCCGGGCCTGGAGGGGTGGCTTCATTGGCCAGCGTGGCCACGTGGCCCCCTGGGTGCTCCTTCGGGCATGAGTGAGGTGCCAGATGGCGGACACTAGGACTTTCTCGGGAGGAAGTTTGTGCAAAGCTGCAGCAGTTTATAAATTCCTCAAGCATCTTAAGGGTTGCAAAATCCTACTTAAAAACGTAAACGTTGATACTCGAAACTGAAAATCTGAATGAACCAGCACTGACAGCGATAAGCGGGGATGTCTGTCACACAAGAGGCTGACACTGCTGAGCCGGTGCTGGGTGGGAGGGGGGTGTAGCAGGGGGGCGTCGGCCTGAGGGTGCTGAGTGTTGGCCTGGTGGGGGAGTTGGCCTCCAGGGCTGTTGGGCCTCTGAGCTGCCTGCCCGGGCCTGCCGCCCCTGAGGGAGGGGGCTCTGTGGGCCCCTCCACCTGGCATGCAGGGCTGGGCTGGCGGGTCCTGCACCTTGGGCAGCAGCGGGGCCAGCTCCATGGCTCGTGCTGTGTGGAGGGTTGGCAGGCCAGGAGCACCAGGCTGGCCTGGGGCCCCAGCTGCGGCTGGCAGGCAGGGCTGTGCGCCCGATGCGCTGGAGTCCGCCCTACTGCTTGCAGCCTGCCTGGCCAGGGCCTGGGCCCAGGAGCCCAGGGCAGTCACCCTCGGAGGACTCACTGCCTGGGCACACAGAAACCTGCGCCTCATGCAAACGGACACTTTTTCGTCCGAAGGCAGGACAGGCACATCTGGTCTGCACCCCTTCAGACTGAGACACCCAGTGTCTGGCGCGGGCCTGGCCCGGTGTGGCCTGGGCTCTAGCCGAGGTCATGCTGGCTGAAAAGTGACAAGGAACCACCTTGGAGCGGTGTGACGTGTGGGCTGTGCAGAAGCGCCCGCAGGCTGGCTCTGGGTCCTGGCCGCAGAGGTGGTGGCTGGTGGCTCCTGAGCAAGCCTTGCTAGCACCCAGCCGTCCTCGGCGCGCCAGAGCCGGCACAGACACGGCATGGTGCCTGCACCCACCAGTCTGCACAGAGGTCGCCCACAGGCGCTGGACAGGAGAGCGTCCCCTCAGCCACGCTGCTGCTGCAGGCCGGAGCCGGGCCGGGCCAGCCAGGCCCCTAGCTGCGCGCTAAGGGGATCAGCCCAGCAGGCGGCCGGGCAGGGCCCAGTGCAGTGCCAACCCAGGCCCAGCCGCTCACTTACATGCGGGGACGGTGCAGTCTCTGGTGTTGTGGTACAGCCTGTGGAAGTGCTTGCTGCACCTGGGGCTGAAGTAGAGGGGGCCTGCAACCCCGAAGAGACACGTCAGACACTTGAGGCACAGGCAGGGGAGGTGGGGTGTGGGCAGGCAGATACATCGGGTGTGAGAGACGGTGTGGGGACATGGGGTACAGGGAGATGGGGTGCGGGCAGGCAGGTGGGGGGAGATGGGGTGGGGGGAGATGGGTTGCGGGGAGATGGGGTGCAGGCAGGCGGGTGAGGGGAGATGGGTTGCGGGGAGATGGGGTGCAGGCAGGCAGGTGTGGAGAGATGGGGTGCGGGGAGATGGGGTGCAGGCAGGCGGGTGAGGGGAGATGGGTTGCGGGAGATGGGGTGCAGGCAGGCAGGTGTGGAGAGATGGGGTGCGGGAGATGGGGTACAGGTAGGCGGGTGTGGGGAGGTGGGGTGCGGGGAGATGGGGTGCAGGCAGGCGGGTGTGGGGAGCGGGCAGGAGGACATGTACCTGTGAGATGCTTTAAAAACTTGTCCTTCATCCTTAGGTCTCGAGGCACAATTTCTGTAGGGGGAAAGTTCATTATTTTCTTTGGACCGTAAGAGGCCGCTAAAGGCCCCAGCGGCGCTGCAGGCGCCCGTGCCACTGAGCGAAGGGGCTGGCCGGGCGCTGGGGACGAGTGTCAGGGCGCGGCGTTGGGGCCGGCGCGGGCAGAGACCACCTCAGCCCGGAGGCAGACACTGCGAGTGCGGTGTCTGAGGGCGACGTGTGGTGTCGGCACGCGTCCCACGTGGGCGCTGTGTGTGGACGTGTGTGGGCAGTCGGTCTCCGGGGAAGACGTCTTTGCTGGACGCTTTCATTTTGAAGACCGCGGGAGTCAAACTCCACAGCCTCAAAGTTCTGGAAGGAAAACCTGATCCTATAAATAAAAACGTGTCACAGGACTTGACCTTCGTGTGGCAGGAGGCTGGGGCACCAGGAGGCGCAGCCCCCGGCCCTCGGCCACCTCCCAGCGGCCTTGACTCCCATTCCAGCTCCTGGGCGCCCTGCTGGACACCTGTGTCCCCGGAGCTGGGCGCGCCCGGGAGACCCCGGGGCCGGAAGACTCGGGTCTCGGCTGAGAGTGCGCGGCTGAGGAGCCCCTCCAGACGCGGGGCGCAGCCTGCTGGAGCCACAGACCCGAGCCCAGCGCGGGCGGGCCGCCGCGGGACTCGCTGTTCTCTTATGTTCAAAAATAAAAACACCAGGTATTTTCACGCGATGGCAATGGATGCGCTTTTTAAGGCGTTTTCTCAGCGACAGTTCTATTTCCGAGCCGGCACAAATTCCTCGGGCCGAGGCCGCGGGCGGGGGCGGGGGCGGGGGGGCGGGGGCACCACTCACCGGCTCGCTGCTCCTCGGGGAACAGCCCGAAGTCCGAGACCTCCTGCTGGCCCAGGAGCTGCAGCCTCTTGGCCTCCCCCGAGTGGTACCGCCTGAGCTCCTGGACGATCTCCGCGATGAGCCGCAGCACCGTCTGCCGGTCGGCGGCCTCCCGGGGCTCCGCGAACCCCCGGCCGGGCCCCGCCGCCCCCAGCACGAGCAGCAGCCCCAGGAGGAGCGGGCGCCCCGGCCCCCGCATGGTGCGCCCGGGCGGCGCGCGGAGCCGGCGGGCTGGGGAGACGGGGCGGCGGCGGGTCAGCGCGGAGGCGCCCGGCCCGAGACCGAGACCGCCCCGCGGGGCCGCGCCCCCCGCCGCGAGCCGCCCCGCCGGGCCGCGGGGACCGGCCGCGGGGAGCCGAGGGGCGGCTGCGCCCGCCGCGCGCCCCCAACTTTCCCGGAGGCGGCCCCGCGCGCTCGGGGCCGCACAACTTTCTCCCGCCGCGCCCGGGGCCGCCGCACCCACCTCGCGCCGCGGAGCTGGAGGCGCCCGCACCGGGGGCGCCGCGCCGTCCCGCCCCGCCGAGCGCCCGGCGGACCCTCGCTGCGCCGCCGCCGGCCGGGCTCGGGGCCTCGGCCGGGGAGAGCCGGGTTCCCGCCCGCGCCGCCGCTCCTCGCGCCGCCGCCCGCCGCGCGCTACTCCACGCGCGGCTGCGGCGCGGGGCGGGCTCGGTGCGCGGCTCCCGCCTGTGCGCCCCGCTGCGCGCCCGCCCGCCCGCCGGCGCCTCCGATCCCCGCGCGGCGTCAGCGGGTCCCGGGGCGCGCGCGCTTTAATTAGCGGCCGCGAGTGTCGCCCCCCCGCGCGGCGTCAGCCCCCGCCCCGCCCCGCCCCCGCGCCCCCCACCCCCCGCGCCCCCCTCCTCCCCCCCCCCCCTTCTCCCCGCGCCCGCCCGCGCGCGGCCGGTCCCTCCGCTCCTGTCGCTCGCGGCGGGAGAAGCCGCTGCCGGGAACCCGCCGCTCGGGCGAAACGCGGGGCTCGGCGACTCGAGAAGGGGGCGCCTCAGCGCCTCCACGTCACGAGTCCCCCCGCGTCCGGCCGGTCGGGGGGTCTGCGGGGAGGCCGGGGCGCAGGCCGGCGGGGGGCTCGCGGGGGCGAGGGAGGCAGTCGGGGCGCCCCCGCCCCCGCCCCGCGCCGAGCCCCGCCGGGTTCCCGCGCCCGACCCGACCCCCGGGCGCCCCGGCCCGCTGCCCGGCCACGCCCGCGGCCGCTTCCCGGGCACGTCCCTCCAGGCCGGTCTCCGGAAAGTTTTGCTCTTCGGAAGTGGGCGGCGCAGTCGCGAGCTCAACGGTTTCTCTCTAATTTTTTTCTTGTAAAATGTATCCTCAATCAATGGCGCACTTTCCAGTCCCTCGGCGCCTTCTGGGCAGGAGCTGGACGCCCTCCAAGCCCGCGCGGGGAAAGGTGCAGGCGGCGCGCGCTGCCCCGCGCCAGGGTCTGGGGAGCCGCGCGCCCCTCGCCGCGCGCCCCTCGCCGCGCGCCCGCCCCGCGCGCCCCTCCCCACGCGCCTGCCCGCGCGCCCCTCCCCGCGCGCCTCTCGCCGCGCGCCCGCCCTGCGCGCCCCTCCCCACGCGCCCCTCCCCGCGCGCCCCTCCCCACGCGCCTGCCCGCGCGCCCCTCCCCGCGCGCCCGCCCCGCGCGCCCCTCCCCACGCGCCTGCCCCGCGCGCCCCTCCCCGCGCGCCTCTCGCCGCGCGCCCGCCCTGCGCGCCCCTCCCCACGCGCCCCCCCCCCGCGCGCCCCTCCCCGCGCGCCCCTCGCCGCGCGCCCCTCCCCGCGCGCCCGCCCGCGCGCCCCTCGCGCCCCTCGCGCCCCTCCCGCGCACCCGCCCCGCGCGCCCTCCCGCGCGCCCCTCCCCACGCGCCCCTCCCCACGCGCCCGCCCCGCGCGCCCTCCCCGCGCGCCCTCGGCCGTGCGTGGAAGCGAGAGTCGGAGTCCAGGGGCACCCGCAGAGCAGCCCCTGAAGCGCGGGACGCTCCCGAAGGGGAGACGCCCCCGCGGACGCCGCCTAGTGGCCCGGCCGCCCGACGCGCCGCGGCTCCCGCGGGGCCGGACTTCCCTGGACCGCCCGACACCCGCACGGCGCTGCCTGAAAAATAAAACAAGAAATGAGTCCCGAGTGCGGTCCCGTGGACCCTTGCAGTGGTGGTCCACGCGACCCGAGCCGCGCTGCGCGGAGCACAGCGAGAGCGGCCCCCGGGCGGCCACGGCTCCTGGTCGCCGGCCACGGCTCCTGGTCGCCGGCCACGGCTCCTGGTCGCCGGCCACGGCTCCTGGTCGCCCGCCACGGCTCCTGGTCGCCGGCCACGGCTCCTGGTCGCCCGCCACGGCTCCTGGTCGCCGGCCACGGCTCCTGGTCGCCGGCCACGGCTCCTGGTCGCCCGCCACGGCTCCTGGTCGCCGGCCACGGCTCCTGGTCGCCCGCCACGGCTCCTGGTCGCCGGCCACGCTTCTCCAGACAGGCGGGGCCTCGCGTGCGCCGCCCGCCGCATCACACGCAGTGGGGCGCCCCAGTCGCGGGCCTGCCCGGCGGGGACCCCTGGGTGGGCGGGAGCTCCCCGCGGCCTCGCGGGGCCCTGCGCGTGGACGCTTCTGCGCGCCCCTGGTGACAGCCTCTGCTGAGCCCCCGGGCGGACTCGGCGTTCTCGGGGCGCCCCCGCGCCGCCCCCCCGCGAGGGTTGCGCGCGAGAAAGGGCAGCGTCTGCGGGGACTCGGCGGAAACGTGGGTCGTTGGCGCCTCCCCCGCTGTGGGCCTGGAATGAGCTGCTTGTCCCGAAGCCTACAGACAGGTGATTCTGCGGTTGTCACCAAAAACGCCTGAAAACAAAACACAACTTCCTGCAAAAAGCTGAAGAGAGGTTCCTGGAGATGATCCCGTCTCACCCTGTTTTCAGGCAAAAGGAAATGATGTTTTCACAGTAAATCATTTAACCTCGGCCACTGGCCAGCGACCAGCCGCCCGCCACGAAGCCGAGGCCCGGAGAGCTGGTCACCCCCTGCTCCTGGCTCGGCTCTGTGAGAAAACCGCGTTGGAGGATAGAAACTGGCCAGAAAGCTAAAAGTTGTGCTTCATCTACTTTTATTGCAAAGTTATTTTGTGAGACGAGCAAATCATTTTTCAGTTTAGGAAGTGAAAAATCCAGACGACAATCACTTTCCTCATCTCCAAAATGCACACGTTTTATTCCAGACTCTTATTAACACCCTTCAAGGATTTCTAAAGTAAATGGTCATATTCACCGCCCCGAGGGGGGGCAGAGAGTGGGGCTCAGCCCTTCCACGGGACCCAGAGGCAGCGCAAGCCCCGCCCACCCCCTGCAGCCCACCGTGGCCCCCTCAGAGTGCAGGGGTGTAAACCCGCCTGCAGCCATCGCTGGGAGGCTGGAGACCGTCTGGAGCCTGCTGCAGCCACACTATGTGCTGGTGCCGGCCCTGGCAGCTGAGGGTGGGACTGAGACGTGTGGGGCTGCTGAGAGCACCTCGCCCACAGCAGGGCCCACGCGGGCACCCCCAGTTCTCTCAGGACCTGTGGCTGCGTCGTGGACTCTGTTGTATTCTAAGTTTGGGGCCGTTTCAGCAATGTAGCGGCGCTTTGCAAGGGCGGGCTCTGTCTCAAGACGCCCTCTCTCTGCTCGCCGGCGAGAAGCCCCTCGTCTGTGCAAGCTCCACTCTGGGTTCGGGCAACTTGGTCCCATGTTCAGGCCCCTCTGGCTCCACGACCCTTGCCATCCACGCGCCATCTGCAGCGCTGGCCTCCAGCCAAGCCAGCAGCCGCTCAGCCGGCCCCACCGCCCCACACTCCGTGGCAGGACCCCTCAGCTGCATGGCCTGCGGTGTCTGGCCAGCCTCAGAGGCCCAGGCTGGCCTCCCTCAGCAAGAGCCTTCAGAGCAGGTCCCCAGTGAGGATGCACGTGTCAGGCGCCCTCCACCGGCTGCAGAGGGGTCACATTCACCCGGCAGGCAACACCCCCTCCTGGCTCAGTCGCTTTGGGGGCAGCAGGCTCTCTCTCCTGCACAGGGCAGGGGTTCCCATGAGGACGACACCCATTAACCTGCGTGGGCAGACGTGCAGCCACCGGCCTTGTCGCTCCAGCGGCAGCCAGCCCGGGCCTGGGACAGCACCGTGGCCTCAAGCTCTGCCTTCACCTGGTTGAGGCTGCCACAGTCGCTCAGCGTGCAGGGCCGTTTCGGGACATGGGGGCCCCGCGGCCTCGCTTCTCGCTCTGCTTCTCCCACTTTGACCCCCTGCAGCCACGTGGCCACCTTCACCCCCATCTCATAGGACCTCCTAGATAATGGCTGTAGTTTCTCCTCCGTCTGCTGCACCTGGCACTTTGATGGGTCAAGAGGGCATGTTTCTGGACCTCAGGAGCCAGCCTCTGTGGCCTCAGAGGGTGCCCCCCTCCCAGCCTGTGCGGGACGAGGACACCAGCCTCTCTCGGGATCAGGCAGGGCCTGGTGGCCATGGGGTCGGCTGAGCTTCCTCTGGATCACCGTGCGCTCTCCAGATCAGCCGAGGCCCTTTGGTGCCCTTGTCCTGGGGGCCCACGGGAGCAGCACTGGCTGTCCCTCTAGGACTGGCCTTGGCCTTCACCACCTGGCCAATGCCAGGCACTCATGCCTGGCCCCTACCCGTCTCCTGCCAGCCTGCCCCACCGCGAGCTCCCCATCTCCAGCTTTTGGCCTCAAGCGAGACATGTGGTTCCTCCTCCTCCTGGGCGCTGGCCTTTGCAGAGCTGAGAACCGACCCGGTCTCAGCGTTGCCGTGTCTGGGGACACGGTGGCCCAGGGGAGGCAGGGCAGGTGGGCACACAGCGCTGAATGGTCAACTTTGTCCTTGATGGGTGTGGTTCATGGTCCCCAAGAATCACCATGGCAATGTCAGAGACCACTGCCACAGATGGCCACTGCTGGCCTGACCACAGGCAGAGTCCATGTCTCAGAGGCTGTGGGAGGGTGGGTCTTGGTCAGCAGAGGCGCCCAGTGGGGGCCAGGCCGCCCGCTCCACTGCCCGGCATCTCCGTCCCTCTGCCTCTGGGTCTGGTTGGGCGCTGAGCCAGAGCTGGCACTGCGGTGAGTAGGGGGGCAGGTGTCCTCCCAACCCGTCCTTGTTTCCTTTAGTTAAATACCCAAAATGGAATCGCTGGACCTAGTTTTAATATCAGTGTCTCCAATGGCATCCATGACTGTTCCCAGGACGCGTCA